CTGGTGACCAGTGATAGGACACGAGGAAATGCTTCTCACTGAGAGGGTGGTTGGTCACTGGAACAGGCTCCCCAGGGAAGTGTCAGGCACCAAGCCTGAGTTCAAGCAGTGTCTGATCAACGTTCTCAAGGTCATATGGTTTAGTTTTAGGTAGTCCTGCGAGAAGCAGGAAGTTGGACTCGACAATCCTTATGGGCCCCTTCCAAATTGAGATATTCTACGATTCTATGAAGGATGAAAATCTGTATAGTCACAACCAAATTATTACCTTACACAAAACTTGCAGCTGTAGCAAGAAGCACAACTTTCAGAAAGTAAGGGCATATAAAAATGTATTGCACAGAGAGAAATCTGAAGTTCTTATAAGTTGATATTCTATCAACTTAATGCTTTAGAGCAGCAATGTGATGGCTAGAAATAAAGGAGCATGTTCAGCCTGCCTGCTCCCAAGTAACTCTGGTGGGAATCAAAAAATAAGCATCAAACTTCACTTTCAGGAACCAGGAGTAGAGATCAAAGATCCAAAGCCCTGAAACTCTTCTGCTGTCACCACATACCTCTGAAACCCACTGGCTGATCATCTCACACGCTGTCCTACAGCTGCCCTCTACAGCTAGAAAAACCATCTGCTTTCTGCCAGCACCATCAGTCATGTCATTAACTTCGATTTGTGTTGTTAAACCTAAATATTTCAAGTCTGATAACCCTGTGTGGGGGAAAGGAGGGAGGACAGGAAGGAAAACAAAATTCCACTAAAACAATTCTTGCATTTTTACTTCCAGAAAATTGGATATTAAAAATGTATGTCAAACGAAGTTACATAGCCACATGCTCATCAGTTAGGAACTACTAAATGCGTGTGATAACCGTTCATTTGTACCATGCTATCCAAGAACAGGATCATGTATTACTTCTCCTCCCTCCCCGTGTTCCTGAACTGTGCAGATGCTGCTGCTCTGAGCAGGAATCAGAGCTGCTGTGCTTTCTACTCTACATCCTTCCAAGTGCCACGACGACTAATCAAACAAGTCACTTTGTAGGGAAGACGTGAATTACCTCAGTAAACTGGATTCTGTCCTCACCATTGTCACAGAAATCTCTGTGCAACGCTGGGCAATTATTTAAACCTAGTTCTCCTAGAAATGACCACTGTCTATGTCTCATCCTCTTCATGAGAAATTTGGATTGACTCACAGAAGCATTAGACATTTCCCACTGCAAATGAAGTTAGTCAGAGTGATGTTCTGAATGTATTAAGAACTATAAAAACACAAAATCAAGTTCTGGAACTAGAAATGTAGTTATCACGAATTAGAGTCTCTTTTAAAACTCATTTTGTTAATGACCACTAAGTGTCTTCTTCACACTTTCAAATGGGGTGTGAAATCGTACTACCTCCTCTGGGAGGACAGGACTTTCCCTAGCAGCAGTTTAGGATCTGGGTGTTGTGTTTTTTATTCTAACCCAAGGCAGTCATGCTGAAATCGAGCAGCAGTCAGAGCAACCAGCTGGCTGTAAGAGGCTGTACTTTAAACCCATCGCCACCCGAATCAAACCTCTGACACGACTTCAAAATCTCCAGGTTATCTCAAAGCACCTTCATGAGTGGCACAAAATGCAGCGATACTTCACTTGCTCTTATATAAAGATGCAACGATAGCAAAGACATAACTAACAGTCTTCTCCAATTTCATGGAAAAAAATTTAGCAGCTTCCAGACATGAACGTCTCTAGAGACCATGCTGCAGTGTGTCATTAATTTACTCACTCATGATTGTACTTTGGCTGCAAACACCGGAAGAGTCCCTGAATTCTTAGGTAGTGAAGAAATACTGAAGCCAAACTAGGAGTTTACAGTTGCATCCCAAATGAACTAGGAAAGTTAATTTAAAATATTCACTATTTTGAAGGTGATCCCTGGGGACAAACAGTAGATGAAGCATCAGGTTTCTGTCATTAACAGTCCCTAGCCTAACCCCCGCTTCGACCAGTATGGTTCAGAGATCCAATGGCTACCGAACAATTGGGAGAGACGTTTTTAGTTAAATGGACAGGAGTTAAGCCATAAGAACGGATACCACAGCTGCAGCTGTTGTCTGGCAGTAAGTGAATGGCTATGGGGTTTATTCCATCTGTTTCATAGCGGATCATTCACCCCAAGCAGATTTCTGGGTAATACAGCAGTAACATTTACATTCCTTGTAAGAAAACCCTTCAGATCCTTAAAAACAGTTACTTTAATCCTGCTTCCTGTTGACAAAACTTTCATAAAAGTATCCACATTCTTAAACAGAAGGCCCAATTATACAGCACATGAACATGTAAAAATTATTGCAACATATTTGTGGAAACATTTTTTGTTTCAACAGCAGCTTCAAGGGGAAAAAAAACCCCAAAAAACTACAAACCCCAAATCCCCCAAACTGCTGCATGAACAAGTTTGCCATGGCTGCTGTTCCCACAGAAGCTCAGCCTCTGGAAAGTTGTAGAACCATGTAATAACAGTGGAAACATTTAGCAAAAACTTTAAATCATCTCCCACAATCAAGACAGGGTACAACATGTTCTACCAGGAAACTGGAGAAAGAATTGGGGGATGAAAAGATCCCACACATACTTACTGGGGCCTGGAGACCTCCATCCTCTCGGTCAATGCTGCTTCTAGAGAGCCGCACATCGGGTTTCTAAAACAAAAATTAAAAATTTCATTCTGTACTCTCCTTACCAACTCACGCGACCTAGGCTTAACATCATTTTAAAGACAGGCAAATACTGTTAAAAATTTACACTGACAAATACATATGTCATTTCATTCCAGCCTAGACACTCCCGCTGCTGTGACTACGCGCTTCTGCAACTGCAGCTACTGAAACTCCTGGCAGCCTTCTCGACTGCTTCTCAACCACCCGTTCTCGAGCCCACGTGTAAAAATGCTTGTTATAAATATCGATAGTACCGTTTCCCTAACACAACATTGGAAAACCTGCATTTTAATTTTCTCAAAGGCAGCAAAAGTTGGGTTAAAAAAAAAAAAGAAAAAAAAGAAAAAAAAAAAAGAAAAAAAAAAAGAAAAAAATTCGTTTGCTTCCCAACAGCAAAATTGCAACCACGGGACGAGAGACGCTGCGCATTAATTCCCGCTTCCTGCCTGAAGATGGCTTATATGTACTTGGCTCCCTCTGCGAGCCTGCAAATGGGGCCAATTACTGGAGCTCTTTAAACACTGCATTTGGATACAGAGAGCTAATAAAGACATCCAGATGCACTATTCTCCTGATACAAGCAACAAATGAATTTGTATTTTATATGTTTTAAGCAAGGTATAGGAAGCCAGGGCTCAGTTGTTTAAAAAAGTAAAAATAAGACAACACCAATTTTTTTTTCCCACATTTTTCTCATCTCCCCAGGAAACCTAAGTATGTTATATTCATTCTTCCAGGACAGAATTAATTACATGGAAAGACAAAGGGAGAGTGGATGTGAAACAAAGGTTAACACCGATCTGAAGACACAAGTTCAGCAAAATGGAGTGCTTTTCCAGTGCACTAATTCTGGCACATAAAAAGAAAGAGGATTTATCTGACTCTTCAATTCAGTCTCCTATGAGGCTGGATGAAGAGTTAGTGAAAATGGATAAAATGCATATCTACATCAGTGTAAATACAACTTCCTTCATATGTCTCTATGTATATATACACAAAATGACACACACGGCATGACATTTTTTTTTATTTAGAGAAACGTAGGCTTGTGAATACTGACTGTAACTAAACTGAGCTCATGTTCTTTCAGGGTCAGTGTCAAGGAACAAATACATCCTTTTCTTGTTTAAAGCTACTCCAGATTCCTTTGTTTCTTTCTAAAAGCACTAAAGAATAATTTCAACTCACATATCCTGCTAGATGACCCTAAAGAGCCAGCAGGGCAGACAGAACTTGCAAAGATACGCTAATATTGAACTTTTATCATGAAAAACACTTCAACTGTGCTGGTAGTCTCTCGGAAGGGCTCGTACTTTGGATTTTCATTCAGCCATCCACAGACTGAGTGAGGCACAGCCACAGACAGTCGCTGCCTGAAAGAACTTGCAGACTAAAAATAGACAAATCATACTAGGCAGGGAAATCTTTAACCCCATCTTAAACATGAAGAACTGAAGCAGACACCAGCAAGCAATTTCCCAGTGTTTCTCCAGAAAGGTGTGACAAATTTTATGATGAAACCTACCATTGACGAATCTCCAGTTCATTTCCTTTATTATGACGAATGACTTTTTCTAATTGAAGTTCATTTGATACAGGTATGTTAGATACTTCATTAGATATCTAAAGTCGTTTCTCATATTTTTAAGCTAAAGCAAATAGCTATCCTTGTTTATCTAAGCACACGACTAACTACATTTCTATTACACCAATATTCACAATTTGCCTTCATTTCATGTATGTTTCTAGCCAGGGAAGTGCCCAAAGTTTTTCAAAATAGTCAAAGACTATTTTATCACAGGGGTCTTTAATGCTCTTTGCACTTTTAAGAATTTATTGCTTCAGAAATGCACCCTAAACCACACTCCAAAGATAATGAAATACTGAGCATTTTAGAAGATTCAGCAGCACAAAAATACACACTAGTCCAAATAACAGATTTTTTAATGGTATTATAAGAAAAAAGCTAAATTAACAGACATAATATCCATCTCCTCCCCTCCTTATCTTATAAACAAGGCCCTCCCTTTTACCATCTAAACTCTCTAAATGCCCAATTCTACAACCTCACATCACAGCAACAATTCAAATACCCAAGTCACCACCACGAGCAGCAGAAGTGCAGCGTATGAGCGGACCTCAGGACATCGCGTACATGAACAGTATACAACCACCTAGCTACAATCTAAGAATCGTTTCACAGAAATGTTGTAAATACACATAAAATATTATTAAAATGAGCATTAAGTTGATGAAACACTTGCTTCACAAACTGCCAACAAAAATACTGAGTCCTGCTGACTACCCCCACACAAGCCAACCCATAGAAGGCTGTGGTGTTGCCCAGGCATCTCCAAGAACCTGATCTGGAAACAAAGATGCTAAGTGCCAATGGGTCATGGCAAACCAGAGGGTCCACCACGAGCAGCTTGTACAGCTACATACACAACCCACCTGCTCCTCAGCGATCTGCATTTACGTCTTAGAAATAGGGACTGAAAATCTTCAGTGGTACAGAAACGCAAGCCCTTTCAACTCTTCCAAACATCTTCGTCCTTCTGCCTCATCAAAACTCGGTTAGGAACACAAGGAACAACACCACACTTTTGTGTTCAATGGCTAAGATGAGGTCCCATTATATCTCTAGTGACTTGACTGTGTTCTAATAAATTCTAACAACTCCCATTTTAGTACATGATATTCTGATTTATTCATTTGTGTAGCTGTGGGAATTTCAAGAGACAAACTATTTTATCGTAGAGGTGATATCTAAGATCAAACACTCATTGTATTTTTAAATATTAGCAGCAGCAATTCTTATGCTTCTACAGTGGCAAGACTTTTAATTTTAGCCCCTCATGGTGCATGAGGTAACAATACGTTGCTGAATTTTTAATACTGAGATCCTTCAGATGTATTTAATGCAACATTCTTCGGGTCAAAAAGAAGCCTCACACCAAAATGGACCTGTTCTGTACTTTACACACCATTTTACAGCCCCAAAGCACACCCTACTGTCTTTCCAGTCCCTGCTATGGCCCTGTACCTTCACGGCAGCCCTCCCAAAAACCACAGAGACTCCCCCGAACGGTTCTCCCATCCTGGTACTGGGCATAGCATTAGATATACAGAACTTCTAAGCTGGATGTGAACTGACTCTGAGAAGCAGCTAAAGGGGCTGGAAACGGGTGGTGGGTGCTGAACGTGTGTGTCTTTATAGAGAACATTTCTGGCACTTGTTGGATCGCAACTGTATCGAGGGTGTTATATACATCAGGGAGATGAGCTGGAGGGGGGAAAACCCTCAAGACATCCACTTGGTTGTGAAGCCCCCAGGTTGAACGTAGCTAGTAAAAGCGTGTATCTACAAAGGCCCTGCTTAACACTCTTGTGCAGTGTAAGACTGTTTCAGAAAATGAAGCCTTCGGGAAATCAGAGGTTTAGGATTCCAGCTTTATCTGAAAAAGTTGTCACTGGCGAGTATACTTTTCAAGGCTTGAAGCTAAACAGTGACCAACTCTGATGACAAATCATCTTCAAACGTGTTTCATCCCGTAGTATGGTGGGACTTCCCAAGCACACAAACCGTAGTGCCCTGAGGTTTTTTTTGTGAAAGTGCCAACTGAACTAAACTAAAATGCAAGTTTAATCAAAGTCTTTTCTACTTACTATTATACGGATTACAGATACATATTGAAGGGAGGAACTATATGTTATTAAAATCTTGCATAAAATCAAAATCCTTCAAAAGTAAATGGATTTTTTCCCCATAAATAGTCTACTATCCGAAATCTTTGGAAACATCGAGAAGAGTTTTCAGACAGGATGCGGATCTTGACAAACTGGAACATAATCTACTTTTTTCCCAGCATTTCTGGTCACTCACTAATAAAAGAACATGTAAGTCTTGGCATACTCAGGACATGCCAAATTGTAATGTCTTGGTGGGATTTTCTCAGGCTAAAAATTAAAATCTTATTTTAGCATCAGTTCACATCAATTATATTTCAATTGCAGTTCTCAGTGTCAAAATAGGACAAAACCACAACTATGTGGGAATTTCAGAAAAAAACAAAACCAAACACGATAAGGAAACTATGTGAGTTATTTCTTCTTAACCTGTCACAGGAAAGGGCTATAAATTTCTTAGCACAACATTGCTCTGTCTGCTGGGGAGTTACTAAAAGGCATGCACTTATATATATCTTTATTTTATATTATTAAAAACTATGGCACATAACATCAATACAGCCACAAAGAAAGGCTGAAACTAGAAACTAAATATAAATGAGGAAGCAGGTAATCAAACTGGCTCAAAAGAAGAAAAGCGTTCTGCAAAATGTTCAGAGAGAGATAGTGACGTTGCCCAAAGTTACAGCATAAAAATCACTAACTTCACTACACTTCTGAAATTAAAAGGTCACCTTGAAAAGACACAGAAAGACACAATTTCTTTCCCACAACTTCTGCGAAGCAAACTAACTAGCTAGCAGTCTGTGATTACAGGTGATTCTCCTTTTGGGTCAAACTCCATATCAAAATACACAAGATATAATCACTCCTAGAACCCATTAAAAAAATTAATTATCATAACAGTTTTTGGCAGTTCCAAAATCATGTCAAAATGCACAAATAAAAGCATCCTTGGGGGCTTTAAAAATGATTTTAAAGTAATCAATTAATTGATTTGCTTTTAAGTTAATTCTACACACAGGAAGTCAGGGCTGGAAGATTAACATACACACACTGTGGCCCTAATGGAGTAATTTGATCCTTATGGGCTGATTTTCTGTGTGCACAAATACTGTAAAGGAAAGCCACCATGCTGGACATAAGTGCAAGTATCGCTGCACGCATGCCAGACTGCAGGGCAATGGGCCAAATCTTTCAGTCACAGCGAGCTGCAAGTGCCAGCAGTAGAGAGAGGCCATTCACATGGTGGAGCACTGCTTTTGGGGATGGAGGTGGTTTGTTTAGCTTCTATATGCTAGAAGCTTGCACTATGTGCAAGTAAAATATTGATTAATCTTCGTCAATTTTATTTTTTGGAGTGGAAATACCTGTATGATCAAAAAACAACTCAGGAGAAAGTCCTGAATAAGAACTTTATGCATTTCTTGTGATACTGCCTATGTGACTGAGGTCCAAACTTTACAGGATATAAAGGAGTGAAAACCTCAGACCACAAGACTGCAGCACCTAAAAAATCCCAACAGTAAGGCTCCTTACACAGAAGGCCAGACTTCCACTCGCTTGATGTAATGCGTTTGTACTGCAGCCACCTCACCCTCCACCTGCACATGCCCTGGACACAGATTGTTTTCTATAGTTACCTTTATCACTCTAAGTGCAGTAATGCTTCGTCTTTGCTTCAGCTTCCTCTGAAATAATTCAGGTACTTCTGTTCTCCTTCCTGGTAATGCTGATATCTAAAGCACTTTTATCAAGAGAGCATGAAAGCCCAGAAGTTTAACCAGTGTCCATTAAAGCTACCAGACTAGTGCACAACATCCCCTCTCTATCAGGGGGTGGGAGGGAATGTCAGTTTTGCCAAAACCAAAAAAACCCACAAAAACCAAAACACCTCTCCCCCAAAACAAACCACCCAAAAAACCCAACACCCAAAATCACTGCCCCCCCACCCCCCTTCTCACCTCCCAGTGGATATATTTGGTAAAATTTAAAATTAAACACTTCTTTACTTTCCAGTTTTTACACAACACATTTATTTTCATTCAGGAGCTTGCCATGAAGACAGATCTGCTTGTTTTCTCTTTCTACAGCAGAATTTCAGCATTCTGGATTCTGTTAAAGCTGTAGCTGCAGACAAAATTTCTGTCTTCTTTCAAGTACTGACTAGTCACATGTTCTCAAAGGACCAGTTTCAGGCAAACTGCTCACACAGATAACAACCTCTCTAATGTCTGGCAAATTTCCATTTCAATGCCATTGCAATTTAATTCTTCATCTGGGGTGTCTCTTCTAGCAAACATAGCATCAGTGCTGTTTATACGTGTACTAACATGCTTTGAGTTGTATTTTTTCCCTGTAGAAGCAGCAACAAATTTCAAGTCATGAGCAAGTTGATGTTATTCTGGGGAACCAAAAATTGTACTAATAGAAACCTCACTGAGGATTTTTCTTCTTGTTGCAGTGTCTTACATTGTGATGTGCAGTCGCTCCCCTGCGAATCCAATTCTCAGTAGTACAAGCAAGATATACTGTAGGAGTCTGAAGTCTGCATAAATAGAGATGCTTTTGAAAGTAGCCAGTTTAAACTGAGAACACTATACTGTATGGTTACATAAGGTAAAAATTAAAATCTGGCTCTACTCTCTCTATTGTCTTCTGTGCTCAAAAGGAAGAATATTCTCATGAAACTTGCCTATAGCAGGCAAAGGAGAGCCACACTTCAGCAAAACCATTTTATCAAAATCTAAAGGTTAGTGCAGAAAGGTGTCTCAAAGCAAGTGAGAGACTTGACATCAATTTTGAGAAAATAAGGTGCTTCTCTTCCCTAAATCACCTGGAGTGAAATTAGGGAAGGCCCCTCTCCCAAAAGAAGAAATGTCACTGGTCACTCACTAACGGACATGGGCCAAGAAGGGTGCGTGTAATATAGGCATTATTTCTACACTGGGCCTGTGTTTGGACTCTCACAGATGAATTGTGGACATCCTTCAGGAGATCTGCAAGGCTCCGAGAGTGACTCCCCACAAGGACTTTTCTACCCGCTTCCGTTCTTCAGGACTAAACCTAGAAAACCACATTCCTTTTCCAAGAAACACCCATCTATAAAGATTCCTCTGACATACATCCTGCTGTGGGTTCAAATACACCCTGTGGCTATCATTGGCTTGTTTAGCTTTTGACACAGTGTCTAAAGCTGTAACAGGCATTCAGGTATAAACCCCACAGTCCGTATAGTCAAAATGTTAGTGTGGAAAGAAAAAGAACTTAAGTTTTATGCATTCCAAAAAAAAAGGAAAAAGTGGCCATCTAAGTTCACACTTACTTCCACTCAAACTTTCTCTTTTTTTGCCTTTTTAACCCTCTAAGGGTTTACATAAAACAAATCCAGCTCTGGCAAAGCTGCAGAGCTGTATAGCTGCTCACAAGTTCATCAGTGCTAGTTCTGCTTTGATTAGGGGCTGGCAGTAGAGATGGTGTCTCTTCACAGCAAAGACACATAATGAAAACACAGCAATTTTCTTCCAAGTGTATGATAAGACAGACCAAAAGAAAAATCAACAAGTGTCTCCTCAAAGAGCAATTCTGGGGACAGCAAATAGCCTAATGATCCGGAGGCTGAATCAAAGCAGAGTAACAAGTGCTGCAAATAACTGTCATCTATTCTGCAGAAAAGGTCAGAAAGTTCAGAAAGTTTTCTGCAGAAAGTTCACACACAATCTAGTGCCACCACCTGAAATCAATGCTTTATTCTCAGTAAACACATTAATACCTCAAAAAGTTCTTGACAATCTTGAAGTTTTAACGCACAATAGATCACTTTGACCCCCTGGTCTTGTGAAAGTCATGAGCAACTGGTGCCACTCAAGACTGGAAAAGCTAATGCCTAAATCAGGGAAGAAATTTCCTTTCCCCTCCCTCTCTTCAGCTTATAATAAATTGGACAAAGCAATCTGGGTACAGCGGTTTCTTTACTACCAACCAATGACAAACCGCAAATTCCCAAGTGCACTTACAAGGAAACCAGCCAAAAGCAAACTTTGTCATCCTTTAATCAAACGTAACATCTTAACTGTGGCACAATCTGGATCCTGGACAGAACATATACTGGACACGGGGGCATCTATCAGTAGCTCTTGAGCTAGGAGAGATCTATCCTACCTTGGTTGTCTTCACAGCCATCAGCTGTTCTGAACAGTTCTGAACACCATACATAACTAAACCCCTGAGAGACCAAGACAAATGGCCAGGAATTGGTAACATCATCTACGTACAAGATCTGTTCTCCATTCCTGCCCACTGGCTTCCTGTAGAATAAAGCATAAATTCTTATTTTCAAGGAACTCCATGTCCTGGCTCCAAGATACCTAAAAGACTGTTTCAAGTCCTGTGAAACAATCACGGCCAGAAATTTTGGTGTCTAAAATAATATTTCATCTGTACAACTAAGATTTTCCTGGAGACCAGTTCTAGACAGTGCAAAGAACTCTTACAGAAACCATAGACCATTATCAACATCTGCTTTAAATAGAGAGCATTCAGACTTACCTTCTGCAACAAACCTATGGCACCTGCATTTATACAGGCATGTTTTGTAACTACGTACAACATAAAAGGTTTCCACACAGTAACATTCCTTGACATATGCTTCTTAAGACCAAACTTGCGACTGATGCTTGCCACAACCCATACCACACCACTGTAAATTATCCACCTGCCAAATGAGGCTTACACACCTATAGGTGCCCACAGGCATGAGCCTATACACAGTAATATGCTATTACCATCTTCTGCTGCATCTGCAGCCATCAGTCTCGAGGAGGAGAATTTTAACACAGAACTGAATTTTGACAAATGGAAAGCTAGAATTGAACTAAAAACCATACACCAGCGGCACTGACAACAAGAAAACATGGAACTGCAAAGAAACAAAAAATCCCATCACCAATGCATCTCCCTTCTCCCCCTGGTTTATGGTCAGAGTTTTCTTCCCAGCTCACAGAGCTCTCTCTGAAATTGTTTCCTCCCACTAATGTGTCTCATTATTCCTCCAGTGTAAGACTGCTTACAACTCTTAGTACAGTCAGGGTTGTTAGATGGCTGATGGTTACCCCTTTCTTGGGGTTTGCGCATGCGCAGATCTCCTTAAGAACAAACAGGCAATCTCCAGATTGGCACAGAATTATACCCACAACATCGTACACATAAATACTCAACTGGATAAAGTGAGACTGAGTGAAAAAAACCCAGCTGTTCAAAGTATTTATAATACAGGACTCACTAGCTAATGCTTAATCTAAAACCTGTTTCCAAACCTGTATTTTGGTAGTGACTCTTACGCTCAGTAAATTCTCTCATTTCACAGAAGCGATCAGGTTTTAGCAAGCTGCAATAAAAAAAGGAAAATCAGAATGAATTAAGAAGCACTATGAAACAAAGTATTACCAGGAATCGTTCCTCTTTTTCGAGCCAGCGCTGATCTTCTTCCATCTCTTGTTGTTGTCGTATCAACCTCTCCTCCATGAGATGTGTGGGTAGAACCTGGCCCATTCCTCGTATGTCCAAAGTGCCCGAATCCTACAAAACAGCGTAAGTTTATTCAGTCTCACAACTTAGAACTAGTATAAACAGCTGCAAGAACTTATAGATTATAAAAGAACAGACTTTTAAAAGCCCAGATACACAACAGCAGTCAAGCAGAGTTCCTTCCACTCCTTATAAACTGAAGCAGACCATCAGAAGAAACTCCAACTACAAATATTTCATCTGCCTTGCTCCTAATCACTGGAACCAAAAAGATTCGAAAAATTCTGCTCTGTTTTTCAGTAACATAACTTCAAATATTGCACTTCATTTAAGTTGGACAACAAAACAGATTTATCAATTTCATTTTCTTGGTCTTGAGCAATAATGTAATTATCCAGTTGTTAAAAAGCCGCAAGATACATTTTTTTACCCCAAACAAATATGCTTTTCAGTTTTAGCTGACACTTGCAAAGCATGTCACAAAAACATTTTTACTGATCTTTGAGTAAGCTTTTACGTATGTCTTAAGCTTACAATACTGAATATAACCTATCCCAATGCTGTCTGGAAATCATTAGCAAGTAGTGTATAAATTAGTATCCTTAGAGAAGCCAAGGCGAGTCTGGTAACAAACTTCACTGAGACTGTTTTTAGGTAACCAATTTGCCAAGCTTTTGTGAGAACTTTGGCTGTAAATTATTATAAACACACGCAAAGCATTCATATGATTCCACCAACACTTTATTCAAGCACAACATAGTTAGACTAAGTTGTTTCTACAGCCAATAATCTATGGGGATGTTTAACTACTTGGGACTACAACCCTCAACTACATAGCATGAGCAACAACAGCGCAGCAGCAAGTCATAATGGCAGAATATATGGTCAAATCAACCAAGAGTAAGCAGAGGCAAACTGAAGGCTTGGACACCTATCTGCTTGCCTGTGTTTAACAAGGAAGCCTCAGTTATCACTTAAATGTTTATCAGAGACATGGGGAATAGAGCACTGGTTAGAGAGCAAATGGATTTAAGACAGAAGCTGCACAAAGTGCAACTTTGTGGGAGGATAAAATGGAATGAAGAAAATATAAAATAATGAAGAACAACGAAAAAAAAAAGACAGAATGTTAAAGGGGGAATTAATTTGATGTTCCTTGCAGCAGCTCTGTGCAATCATAACAGGCTGAAAACTACCTAATAGGAATACTACTCAAGAACAGTTTTGCAGACCAGTTAATTTTCTGCTCTGGATAAGTTACAGAGAAGCCTCAGATACTTTAGCTATGCTGGGTATCTCCCACAAGAGGTATTTTAAAACAGCAGCAATATCACATATTTTTACATGGATGCTCCCATCTCTATTAACAGCAGTAATTTTCAGTAAAGCCTTCTTCTAACAAACACAAAATATTTGCTATCACTCAGTTCAGCAAGCATTTGTGTAAAGAGTATCCTTCATGCCCAACCTCACATAGGAGGATTTGTTTCAAAAAGAACAGAACTCAGTCATGACTCCCATCCCACTGCAGTAAGGCAATTAAAAAAAATAACAGAAACAGTTTTCCTACAATAATCTCCAGATGTACTTAAATAATAAAAAAGCGTGTTTACTGTACAGAGCGCAACAACAGATGCGTCAGTTCACAATACCTCCATGTTTGGTTGCCACACTGATATTTCCTGAGGCCGATGGTTCCAGGAATCTGTTTGATCCAAGAGAGAAGCCTGCCCAGGATAAATGCTGCCTGCCATGGCTGGTATCCCATGAGAACCAGGGTAGCCAGACACCTTTAGCAGAAAGGAGGGGGGGGGAGGGTGGGGAGGGGGGGAAGGGGGAGTTGTTATTATTAATAAGACCTATGCTTTCCCATAATTAATAGCTTCCCCCCCCCTCAAGGGAGCACATATGACAGCACAGAAGTTACTCAAAACAAACAGCCACTGAGGAGGAGGAGGAAGAGGGGAAGCCACATCAGAAGAAGGAAGCCAAGCCAAAATGTGACACAAAACCTCTTTAGGCCTTTGAGGATGCCTATCACAACATGTAACAATTACTTGAGGATAACTATAATGATATATAAAAACACAGAAATACAGCTGTAACTTTTGAGGATGCCTATAACTCTTTGAGGATGCTTATCAAAACAGCAGCATTAGAAAGTATGTTTTAACCTCTGCAGCCACGAAGATCAAGTCTTCTGATGAACAAAAATAAACCTATTGATACATTTGTAAGAGCTACACATGCAGAGCTCATGTTCAAGTTAATAAGAGCCTGCACACATCACCCTAGAGAGACATATAAAATGTACCCCCTAGTGTATGTTACAAGCTTAAGTCTTGAGAGACAGCATGTAATTAGTGTGCTTAGCTACATGGCCTGAGAACTTCTCTACAGGAAAATCGAAGCAGTTTTAATGAGTCTGAAGTACTCATTAAAATAATGAAAATCTCCCCCCTTTCCATGGAAAAAAAAATCTTGACTGAGACTGCCGTGTGTGACTGTAGCTTTGAACAAACCCAAGAATGTTTAAAGTACTTTAATGACAAACTTTTCTTTCAAATTTCTTCAGCAGTGTTAGGAAGAAAAGCAAAACCTGCGAGTATATGATGTGGTAGATCTAGAGATGGCTATTAGCCAACAGAAAACAAAAATGTTTCAGAGACTCATCAGGGAGCAGAGTATCAAGGAAAGCCCACCAGTTAATGACATTTTATAAGGCAAGTAATTTTATAGCTTAGCACAAATGTTAACATGAACACCACATTCCTTCAGTAAATATGAAAATGTCTGATGGGTTTCACTGTAGTTTTAGGAATCGGAGCACCATATCAGATATATGAAAATATTTGCCATCTGGAGTAAACCTACCAGGTTCAGCTGGGGGTTTGTTCTGATGTAAAACAAAAACCATTTAACAGAACTGAATGAAAATAAACTGCCTAAGAAGTGAATCAATCCCACCAGCTGCAACTGAGTTATAAACCGAACATTCCTAAAAATACATGCACAGTGTTAAATGTAATACCTGGTAATGATTTGGCTGTACCATATGCTGTGGACTTGGATAAAACCCTTCACTGGATCTCGGACTAGGGTAACCAGGCCTACTGGGCTGTAAATGTAAAGGAATTTTTAGAGTCTTTAGAAACAGAAAACTATAACCAGAAAATTACTGTTGGGTGAGACAAACATTTACAGGTGGTACACCACAAAAGCAAGCTCAATGCACCCCCCTCCCGCTTCTAAAATGACTTACATTTTTTTTAAACAACTAAAATTAAGTTTTCCTCCATTTTTGCTTGGAAATTGAAGCAGCTGAATTGTTTGCTAGGTATGTCAATAAATAATGCTTGTTCTGTGAATTCTTTGAGTATATTTAATTGCTTGCATTAATTGACCTACTCTGTGCTGTTTAAGTCTAGAAAAGACATCAGCTAAGGACATAGTTCTTAAATCAAAGTTTCCAGGTGCAAACATAGCATTGTTTCAAAGTTCACAATCTGCAGTACGTGAAGTTTTGCTATTAATTTCTTGCTTTTGTGACCGTTCCCAAAAGTAAATTCTTTTGCTTCAGTCAGAACACAAATCAAACCGGTTTGTTTAGCATGAATATTTCCATGTGTTACTCTGAGGATTAAAGTTAGTTCTGGTAATTAACTTCTGTGTAACTAATTGCCTCAACATGGAAGGTGCTTTTGATCGTATTCTGAACTCCACAGTCGCTTCATTATCCATGCTTTGTTTTGCAACCCATTCCCAGCCAAGAAAAAACAAGACAGAACCAGCTCCTATCAGAAAGGACAGCTATAGAACAGCTATCGGGTCTTAATCTGACTGTCTTGCTTTACCCCTTCAGGAGAAGGGCAATACTTCACCTGTAAACAAACAAGATGCATAATCACAGGAATACATGAGAAAAGTCGTCAGAAATTCAGACAGCACTATTACAAAAAAAAACCCTGCATGAAAAGGAGCCTGGTTTTCTGCACACATTGAACAGATCAACCTTTTGCCAAAATAGGTATAGAAATTCCACACTAATGAAAGAAGTAATGTTGGAAAACATTGCTCAGAACAACTTACTTTTATCTTCCAAGCAGAAGTGTTCTGTTATTTTGTTTGATATTAACCTCCAAAGGTATATTTGGGTTTGTTTTTTTTAATGAGGAACAGTGCTGCTGGGTGTTTCAGGAGGAGAAAAAAATGAACCAAAGAGGGGAAAAACCCTCCAAACCTCATCATTCTGCAAATGGGCTCCTTCAGTCCTTCTGAAGCTAAAGGCGACCGTCACATTACTTTGAGATTGCAGAATTTTATCATCACTTTCTGAAAAATGTCATTATCATTCTGTACTAGGATATTTTCTGTCTTCAGTTTTTAACAGAAATCACTGTGAGATACAAGTAATTTCATAGTATCAATTGTGATATCCTAGAATTATTTGAGAATGTGTAGGAGTTTAAGACTATAGATAAAATGGAGTTTAAGACCTATAAAGACCTGAAACTTTTATAATGAATTGCTGGAAGAAAAAAATCAGTTGTCACCATTACAAAAATTAGATAGTAACTTAAGAGATACTTAAAATCTCGTATCAACAAAATTCAACTTGTTCAAATGTCATTAGTATGCACTTTTACACAACAATACTGTATAAAAGAACCAACAACTGCATCGCATATACAGTGGGGACATAATGACCCCCTCAAAAATGATATGCAGTAGTACAACTAATTGCAATCTTAGCACATGCTTTGTCAAGTGTTTCAGTTTATACATCACATCCAAAGCTACTCCCAAAGGTGTAGCTCATATGTTACATTAGTGAAAGGTACTTATTCTATTTCAATTAGCCCTAAAGCTTCAAGACTAAACAAATTCCTCAAACAAGGTTGTAATAACTAAGTAGCATATTGTTCCTATATATGTAGGTTATCTGCTTCTGTAACTCAGAACATCATCGGTTTATATATACACCAAATCCTGCTAGTTAATCTCAGATGACTAAACAGGTTGATGGACTGTTTTCTGTTTTTAACTCTGAAATGAAAGCAACAATTCCACTGCTCATATTTCTTGGTTGCCATAAAGCTATCAAAATGCAGAACCAAGCTCGAAAAGCTATCAGGCAACAACCTGGGTATGGGGAAACTAAAAAAAAAAGTTGCCTTCCTGTGATTGTTGGGTTCATCACAAACTGATCAGGATAATATCCCACACTACAGTGGTGAAAGCACTGTATGAAGTTCTTTGACATACAGGCTCCATCCTTCAAAGCGCAAAGTAACTCTGAAGAGAAGCTGACAAGTTAATGAGAGAAGAGAGCTCAGCAACTGGTGAGGTTGGACTGCCACAGCTGCAGAACGCATCAGCGACATCCAAACAGGACAGACATGTAATGAAACAAAATTAAGTGTAAACTAAACCACATAAGGTCCTCGGAAGCAAACCCCTTAATTTTCTGTCCAGAATCAGGAAAATGCAGTTAATTGATTTCTGTCCTCTCACTGATGTTTTACAAATAAACTTCATGGTGGTCTGAGAACTCCCTAGCTAACGTTTCATAGCAGTGCTACAAGAAAGAAGAAAAAACGAAGAGGCCAGGAAACAATTTTGTGGCAACTATGGTAGTCTTTTACAAGTTAAACAACAAGAAACAGAAAATTGTTAGTGTGATATTATAGCATGGATCAGTTCTAATAACAGTTCAAGTAGAGCCAGGTCATTTCAGGCAAGTATTAGCAGATGATGACAAAACTGGCCAGAATGCCGTTGTTTGAACAAACCCGTCAAAGGAGGCTTTGAAGAAATAAATGGAATAAAAAGGTTTTTTGGTTTTTTTTTTTGTTGTTTTGTTTTGTTTTTTTAAACACACATAATTTGCAGTCATAGCTACCTTGGGAGGAGCTTCATCCGATCCTCCTGAGTCCCAGGATACTGTGACTTGTCGCCTGGATTCCATTCTCATTCGTTCTTCTTGCTGCAGCTTCTCTTCCTCCAGTATTGTACTAAGAAAAACATACTATATTTAAGCAAAGCTCCAGTTCAATGTCTAACAAGCCTCTCCCCATACCTCTCACATTTTTCAGACTAATGAATACTATTCGACAAAGTGACTGAGAACCGAAACACAAACTTCTTTTACTTATATTGGTTACGCTTCTGAAAAGCGGTATCGGGAAGAAATAGTTCTGTAGGATTATCAGCGTGCTTTCAGTAACAGAAGCAGCACAGAAGCAAGAGTTTTTAGAAAGGTTGATCTTGTACAAAATTTTTTTTGCGCATTAACAGTCCTTTTGATGTGTAATTACACAGAGAAATCAAAGACAATAAATCGAGCATTTAACGTGCATGAAAACTTATTTTTGTCAAGAATATATTCTACTGAACTGCTGCAAAGGTTCAAAACACACTGAAAATGCTCAAAAGAGCTTCAGATCACTGGGATTATTTTCTTTTTTTTTTCAACAAAGCAGTCAAAAAACGTTTTAAATACAACGTCTTCAGCGCTTATATTTTAGCCTAACCAGGAACACATTCAGCAAACTAATTTAGCAAAACAGAAATATCTGACATTATTCATTCAGCTTCTAAACATTCAGGTCAAAAGGCGACATTTTCAAACAAAGTACAAGACAGTAGTAAAACTAGTTTGCTACTTACCACTGTTCTGACTATTAAAAAGACTGTTTGAAGTTCAGTGTGATACTGCTGCCCCCACTGCTCCTCCCAGTTCTGCTATGTGGATTATTAATGTTGGATATTTGCCATTTGAAAAATACTCAGAATAAAGCTTTGAAATAGGGAGCTGCAAACTCGTTGGAGCTGCACGCTACATGGTTATTCTGGAGATGGGAGTAGGGCAGACTATTTACATATCGCTATCCCCAGTGTAAAGATAATCCTGTAAAGGAGCTATTTCAGCATCTTTATCTCTCAAAAGTTTCCAGAAACAAAGCTTGGTTCTGAGTTTGTAATCTCCTGTTCAGTCTGCTAAATAACCACCCAGAATTACTCATGCAGGGGATGAGATCAACTACAGCAATCTATTCTAATCTTGGAACTTGACTGCTTATTTCAAGAATAAATTCCTGCTTGGTTGGAGACAAGAAATTTGCTTTTCCCTACTCAGCCAGAAAAAATCCTATGCCACTTCTAAAAAGCAGTGAAGTCATCTCGTCTCACTGCAGCTAAAGCAAGTTTGTAAGTATTGCTGCAATTTCAATCCATCATTGCTGAAGTAACACAAGAATGTGGAACAAAAACAAAATCAGACGAGTTCTTTGCAAAAGTCACCCTGATATAACAGCTACAGCCCAACAGAGGGAACTGAAAAGGGAAAATATTTTTATTTCACTTCTCTCTTCCTTCAGAATAAGGAAAATGAAGTATTTCCTACTTGAACCCACAAAGAACTAGCAAAAAACCCACTGCTTTAAAGCTAGGTCACACTTCAAATATTGAGCATGCATTGTTATGTAGCATGAGAAATCAGCCACAATGCATCTATAGCCATGATATATGATCTTCCAAGAAATACTTCAAGATTAAAAAAAAAACCCCACACACCACACAACAAAACAACACAAAAAAATCCACCCAGACATTGCACAAATCAAATATGTATTTTTAACAAAACTTTTGATACAGCAGTTGTTCTAATCTGGGCAAAAGAATGGAACAGGAGTTGGCTAAAAGCAGCTGACTAAATTTAGAGATAGCTTATTGGCAGTTTGGGGCCATGGGTGTAATTTGTCACAGCACACTCCTGTTTTTCCATAAAAAGGAATGAAACACCAATACTTGTCTGCCTTGCTATCAAAGTCATTTTATCTGTGGTGTCACATTATTCAATACAATACCATCAACTTCCATCAGATCACTGGAAGTGACAAATTTCTACTCAAGTAACTTATTTTTCCTAACACAGGCTCCGCTTTTTGCCTTACAACTCCAATTCATCCCACCCTGCTCTTTCGGTGCCTGTATCATCAGCAGGTCCTTTCCCCAGCAACCCAGGAAGTAGCCTGGTCAAAGGCTGATCCGCTGCAGCAGAATTTGTACTTGGATGCCCTTGAGTACTGCTGAGAAGAATATAAAATGGAAATGCCTCAGAGAAGCATTACTCGAAAAAACACAAAGAATATAAATGACTCACAGAAACGTCTTTGTTTTTACAAAGGGAAGACCAATCCATAGACGGAGTAAAAGCATGCCAAGAGATATTTTTGACCTTTTCTCAGTGCAGCTGCTCAAGTACTCTGAACAGTTTATTAGAATTTGCAGAAGGTCAGGAAAGTCAAATCTAGGCATATTTTCCCAAACTGCATATATTTTTAGCAGCAAAGAGGAGCAAGCAGAGAATTATTTCTACTCATATGATTTCCTTAGCAAATCTTGAGGTAGTACAAGAGAAACTTAACTCATCTTCTTGGCTAGGTTAAGTCTGATGAAAAATCTTAGCTATTAGAAGCTTGCATGATTGATAAAGTTATTTAATTTAAAAGGAATCTTTTTAGTGAAATTGGCCTGTGACATTGAAAAGGAAGCATTTACTAGGAGCTTCAGTGTAGGAATATCTGAAATACTAAAATGTATCCTTGCATGTCAAACAGCACAGCAATCCCAGTGTTTGCTGCTATGCTACGGGAACCACCAGTAAGTGCTGACCCTGAGCAAGCAGCTTCTTTTTTCCCCTGTCGTCTCCAGCCATCGGAAATGCAAAGCTGGGTGCAGATGAACATATTTTCGCATACTGTTCTAATTTAAAAGCACTTTCATATGGATTATAGGTTATTCCTAATGGTCATTGTCCAAGAGCAAAAGGCTAATGAAGAATTTGCAACCTCCATCATGTATTTCAATCATGTGTTAAAATATTTGGCAGGATGCCATAACAGGCAAGGACTCAAACTGCCCTCATTCTTACTAGTTTTGCTTCTTTTATTTGTAAGCAACATTTCAGAACCTACATCAAATGCAGTCACAAAAAGGCTCAAGTCCAGTTCTCATCAGCTAATTATCTCACCGTTATCATAAAAAACAGACTTTAAAAGCATGAATCGGTCGTCGTTTTGTTTTGGTTTTTTTCTCATTCTTTTTAGAGCTGTATTTAATGTGACCTGCAGTGCTAGGATGCTGGTGGGGTCATCCACTCTTAAAACCTGTGCTGCTTCCTCAGTGACCAACAGAGGGCCAGAGTGACACTTGTCAATGATACAACTGCTCCTTATTTTGCTATTTTTAGGAGAAAGGGTCAGTGATAGGTACTTAAACAAAATTCATTCAATGACGCAGTGAAAATGTCATGCAATTACATTAATTTGCAAGCTCAAAGTTAAAATTCAACTTAACCTCCAATGCAAAAATACCCGGTTTTAACAGAATTACCCAAGGGACATTCAGGGCACCACAAGTCGCAAGCACAAGCCTGGGAGCTGACTTTGAAGAGTCTGTGAGCATACTGGTGCTACCTTAGCAATACACACTCGCAGCATTGAACACAGCAAAGAATAAATTAAATTTAATAATACGCGCATGTATGAGATAGTGTATGGTTACAGTGAGAGTACGATTATAGTACAGTAAGTATATGGTTACAGTAAGTAGCTAGGAGTCATTCTAACAAGAAATGCTATAAAAATGATATCGCATCGTGTGGCTACATTGAACACTTTGCAAAGGGCCTTTTATATTATTTACCATGTAAATAATCGAAAGATCTCTAAAAAATAATTCTAAAAATCTCTTCTACACAGAATCAGCAAGGCAGCACAGGCTTTCTGATTAAAATACCCCAGATTCTAATTCTGGCCCATCAGTGACAGTGCAGGAGTAGCAGGGTAGCACCTCACTTTCCTGTCTTAATCTCACTTTTACACACCCCAACCCATAACCCCTGCCCAAACTGCAAAAAGGACCTAGGATGCGAGGAGGAATTCAATTTGGAAATCCACAATCCACACATTTGTTTTTGTGTTTGCTGTGAAGACTAACTCACTCCTATCCACTTTGGAAAGATCAAATGCTATGAAGTATCAGGCCTTATTACTACCCTAATAACACTATATAAATTCTACAGAAATCAACATCTTTGCATTGCACAATCAGCTGCAAATAAAGTTTGTGCAAAGCAGATGTTACCATGAAATGGGATAAGCACCAAATAACAAACAAAGAACACATTAAATGCTTATGCTCCCATCAGTGCTATTTCAGATGCAGAAAAGAAGATTTTTCCCAAAGCCATGGGCCTTTTCTCATTAAAACAGAGCGGAACGTTGCGGTGTTGTATCATTGGCCTCAAGCAAATGACTAGTCTGCTCTCAGCTTGAGAAGACAACCCTGGATAGGATCCAGAAGGAGCAGCAGCAACACCACACAGAAAAAGCCACCAGGGAAATGGCTTGTTTTTGCAAGTTCATGGGAATTTGAGTTTTGAAACACAATCTTTCCTAGCTGCCTGAGACTGCCTCATTGTAAGGGAATTGGCAACCTTTCCGACGAGAGGCTGACTCTGTCTGCGAGCCGCGCAAAGAAGCCCTAAGGACGACCATGCTGCCTAACTTCCAGGAGATAAAGGTCACCAGCATGGAGCGGTATAAAACTCTCTGCTTTGGTAAGAAGAGAGTAAAAATTGGATTTTAGGGTTGTTGTGGCCCCAGGAGAGAAGCTGTCCTCTAAACAATGCTTCAGATCTCCTAGCATGCGTAGAGGAGCAAAAACTCCATCCTCCTTGGTGCTTTTTTCATCTAGAATCAGAGAATCGTTCAGGTTGGAAGGGACTCCTGGAGGTCTCGAGTCCAATCTCCTGGTAAAGCTGGGCTCCATGCACAGCAAGGTCTGGCGGCTCAGAACCTTTTCCAGTCAAGGTTTTAAAGCCTCCCCACATGGAAATTCCAGAGTCTTCTGGGTGACCTGTTTCAGAGCTTACCCACACACACACTGGGAAACACTTTGATTTGTAACCAACAAGAAGTTGCTTTGCTGCACGTCATGAGCGTTGGTTTCTCACCATTTGGGGCGAAAAATTTTTTAGGGCTTCATCCTCCTGCATGCCAGCCAGCTTTAAGTTATCAGTACAACCTGACTGCAAACTAAAACAAATCCTGTTCTTCCAGAGCCAAAAAACCCAGAAAATGCAAGTGAATTGCCAATTTCCACCTGTAACTGAATCACACAACTGTGTTGTATCTTTTCCTTGTAATCCCTACCCAGCCCTACCATTCCTTCCTTTGTGGTTAACTCCGCACAATCAATCGGATAAGTTATTTGTAAGAAGGGCTACGACTTCCTCTAGCTATGTAAATTATTAGTCTACACAGGAGCTCACGGAGTAACAGATAGTGGAACCATATGAAATATTAAGAAATAGGAAAAAATTTAAAGGTAGCTAAGTTAACCATAGAGCAACTCTGAAACAGCATCATAATTATATTAAAATTGTCCCTTATTTTAACCACCTATGAATGATCTTGTACCGTGAACATCCAGTGACAGCACAAAATGGTATTATAAAAATAAAACATGCAACAAAGCACAACTTTAAAACAAGACATACAGCTGAAGAATTTGGCAATGAATTACAACAAATCCAAGAGTGTATTTACAGTGTACAATACCCACATATTGTTTGAAGCTTATATTGACTTAAGCAAAATAGATACTGAGAACTCATAAAATCCCAAAGGTAGTCACAAATATCAAATATGTCTGCGCAATGTCTCAGTGACGCTTCAAAGTTTAAATATCACTCCCATTTTGTGGCTGGTGAAATAGAGATATGGACACTGGAATAAATTATTGCACAATAAACTAGGGTGTGAATTTAGACTGGTCTCAAAAGTGTGCGCTCATTTATTCCAAGATAAACATAAGGTAGTCTATATCCTGGTTTACAAAGACCAAAAGAATTCCAAGTTAATGATTCCTAGCCTGCATTTATAGCAGGCTCTGCAACTGCACAGACACAGCTGCCACAGGGTAACTAGTGTCCTATGTATGTTATGAAAATGACTTTCAACAGCACTCACCCGATGGTTCATTTATTTAAGAAAAGATACATTTCTACCCCAAAACTGTCCACTGCATTTTTGACTAGGTAATCACTCTAAATTCTTTCTTACACCCTCCCCACCCCCGCACCAGATTGTAGCACACATAGCTAAAATTATAACCAAATTGCTAGTAAAATCTGGAGGTTTTATTGGGAGAGAAAGAAGGTGATTCATATTTCCAGTTATTTGAATTTATTTCCCAATTTTCTCTAACAGATAAGGTCCAGATTTCCAAAAGAGTACCAACAACCTAGCCTTCTGAAGATAAAACTTAATACGCTATGTCTTGGACTTTCCACAGAAAGAAAATACAGAAGATACAGTGAAAATAAGTATTTCTGAACAAGCAAATGACCTTTCAAAAGTATAACCCTACCTGAGTTGTGCTTTAAGTTCAGTAAACCTGGGTCGTCTACTAGGGTCGTATGCCCAACACTTGGTCATAAGGCTGTAGAGGGTAGGAGGGCAGTTTGGAGGCATTGGGAGCCGCTCACCGTTCTCAATTCGCCCAATCACATCATTGTTCTTCACTCCCTGGAAGGGCTTTACCCCATGCATTAGGATCTCCCACATACAAACACCTGAGAAACACACAAAAAAGTTTTCCCCAGAGTGAGCAAACAATAAAACCTGTTAAAGAAGAAACAAACCCCAATTTTGTACAGCCAAACAATGGAAATTCTTCTGAAATGTATACCTAGGGAATCAGTTTTGACTTACCGGCTGGCAGCAGAGAGGAGTGATGTGCAGTAGGATTATACACGCAGTATCAACCTAAACTATTTATGAGGAAGCATGACCCACTGCTAGCTCATGGCAGCCCGGCTTCACTTTAACTACCTTTTACCTACTGGAAATCAGAATGGTTGCTCATATTCAAATCTACGTTTTTATGAGGAAGAATGAGCTGTGTTTGCTTTTCCCTTTGACTAGTTCCAACTGGCTTGTTTCGACACGTAGAGCGTATTTTCACTTTGAGGGTGTTTTGACACTGGCATTGATCCAAATTTTTTGTGCTGAAACTATGTAATAAAACAGTTTCTGTTGAAACTATGTTAAAAGCACAAAGGGAAAAAAGGTCTCTCAGTTTAGGATCAGGCAGAATGTTCCACAGACTTCACTTTTTTAACTCGGACTGTACTAGAGTTTTCTTCAAACTATTATAAGCCTGCCAAAATTCACATACCCTTTACTTAAAAACATTCAAATTTTATTTTGTAAACAGGGTGAACTCTTACTTGACTGTCCTGCTCTTACTTCAAGTCTTATCATCTTTGTTCCTTTACACAGCCTATTTCTGTTCTGTCTGCCCAGACCAGCAGTCTGGACCAGTTTGAGCACAGGTGATCAGATTAATATAAAAACTTGCATATTTAGGAAAAAAGATCAAGCCTTCTGGATATTCCCATTTACCCTTATTTTTACTCAGCTTCTGGTCATATTTTGAAAGCTAGCAGGATCTATGAAAGACAAATTAAGTGGAAATCTAGCATTAAAGCTTTGGAAACAGGACATCACATAGGCTGATCTATGCATTAAGCAAGGAAGCAGGCATACCACCATAGAAGAAAAAGTGAAAATATAAAACAGAAACCGCAAATATCAATGGTGTAACAAAAAGAAATCAGAGCGAAAAACAACAGTAAAAAAAAAATCTTCATTATGACTATGACCTAATTTCCTTATACCTTAACTTCTGTCAGCTTCTTACTAGAAGCAAAAAGGCACATGCAGCTTATGGCTTACTAAGTAGAAAACAGAAAGAAAAACAGAGAGGTGGAAAATGTGCTGGAAGAAACCGAATTTTCAGAAAGCACAGTAAAAATAGTGCCAAATATCTGGAAATTATTCATTTACAGTAGTTGGCAATGAAGTATCAAACTTTTCCAAGAAGACATTAAAGAACTCCCACCATTTGGTATTCACTTACCAAACATCCACACATCGCTAGCCGAGGTAAACCGTCGGAAGTTGATTGACTCTGGAGCCATCCATTTGATAGGTAATTTTCCTTTGGAAGCTACAGGGGAAGGCAAGACGACAAGGCAGGCTTTTATTCCTACTGAGCTCAAACACAGATTGCGTTCTCAGTGAAATAATTCATAGGGAAAACACATCTCCAGTGAAGCACTTGAACTATCAAATTTTGTACAAGGGATTTCTGCACGGTATGACAAATTCTGCTGGCAGTCCTCTAGAGGGAAGAGCAGCACTTTGCCTAAATATTCTGACTGACTGAGCTCCTTTAAGTGAAGTTAATTCTTATTTCAAGATGCAACTATACTAGTTAAGAAGGTACTGGCAACAAATCTGAAACCATCACAAAATTTCAGCAAGGGAGTAGGTGTTTTTAAATGATTCATTAAAAAAAGGTAGGTTGTTTGACCTTACATAAACCAGAAAAAAGAGTCAACAAAAATCAAAATAATCCTCCAAATCTCCCAATGAAGCCCCCAGCAACAAACCACAAAAGCACAACACGAAATGATCACGTCAAAAGTATTCCCCCTCTCCTCTCAGCAACTGAAACGAATATAAGTAGCTCACAGTGATGAGAGACAAACGAGGAAACATAATGGAGTGTAAGGGGACAGATAAAGGATATTTTAAAAGATATGACTGAAACTACAAATATATTGAAGATTAGATTTTATGACTACATTATTTCATAAAATATACCAGATTTAAATTGCTACTGGTTGATACTCTACATTGCAATCTCTATTGTCCTGCTGTATTTTCCATCTATCAGATACTGCAGGACATCTCACAGCTGCTACAGGCACTGAAGATCAGTATTCCATCCAAAATGGGGGAAAAAGCAGGCTTCAAAGACTTTTTTGTGCTGAATCTCCTAAGTCCCTAAGTGGCATCTGAAGTACACAGCATACAATGACAGCACAAACTCAAAATTTACCTGTAGCTAACCTTGAGCTCATTGTAAGCTACCTGTATTATGCCATGAACATGAATATTTTCTCAAACAGGCCTCAAATGTGGATAATTTTTTAAAAATCATGACGTAAACACTGTAACACTAAAAAGCAGAATTTTACCTACACATGAATTTCCTACTTTTTGCAACTTAAATCAGACCTTGTGATTTTTCTTCTTAAGCATACATGTAGGAATTTAATGCCACCTATTAAATCATTGAATAGTTTGCCTTTTTATGCAAATACAACAGCTAGACCAAGCGCATGTGGTTAATTCCTTCTGACAACAAACTCAGCGTTGTGAGAATCAATTGTGTTCTAACCGGCCTGCAAGCAGGATCCAGTGTCAACTTACCTTTATAGTAAGTACTGTCTTCCATGTATCGGGATAAACCAAAGTCACCTAATTTCACACAATCAGTGGCAGATACCAGGACATTTCTAGCAGCAATATCCCTGCCAAACAGAGGAGACATTATTTCTAGTCGTTAAAAATTATTAAAACCCAGAAGTATCAAATGCCTTTGAGAGGACTGAATTATTTTTCTAATCACAGCTTGGGTGTCCATCCACAGAAGACGACAACTGCATGTTTGTCTTCTGATTCCGAGAACCTTGCAGAAATGCTGCAGTACAATGATCCTATAAGTAGTTAACTGTTGTCCAAAAGTGTAACAGTCAATGTCAACGGCAGAGGAAAAAACTTTTGTCTTCATCTATTTAAATATCACAGGCTAACAATTTTTGGCAATTAGAAGTGACAGAAAGAAGAAAATCTGTCTCCTGACCCTGCAAAGGTAAGGAATTGGTATAAGATCTCAGTTCTGTGAGAGGCTTCCTAGTAAGGACCTCAGTTTTTAGTGATGACACAGGGATTATGAAAAGACTTGGGCATTTTTCTCTTGCGGTTTCCCAGGTGAGGCAACCTGCCTTACATGTCTGTTGATTCTGGATTTCAGCAGGCTTGACTAAGTACTGACAGATTTAGCTTTGAGCAGTGAAGTACGTACAGCAAACTGCATGGTGCTACTTTCTCCCATTTCACTATACTATGAATAAGTTGTATTTTGAAATTTTCTTGCTAGAGTTAAAATAAACAGCTACTTGGCCAAAATTGTAAGGGTCTGTTACTTAAAATGTTTTTATGTACATAGCTATGTGTATATACATGCCTAATACATATGTATGTTTCTATCTACAATATATACAACACAGAATTTCAACATAAGTATTTAAACACAAGTAAAATGCTCGAGTTCAGAATTAAATGGTACATGATAATGGGAGTGCTGTGAACTTTTAATAGCATAGAATCATACAATACTTTGGGTTGGAAGGGACTTTTAAAGGTCACCTAGTCCAGCCACCCTGCAGTGAGCAGGGACATCTTCAACTAGAGCAGGTTGCTCAGAGCCCCGTCCAACCTGACCTGCAATGTCTCCAGGGATGGGGCATCTACCACCTCTCTGGGCAACCTGTGCCAGTGTCTCACTGTGAGGGTAAACTTACTGTTTACCCTCACAGTAAACAACTTCTTCCTAATATCTGATCTAAGTCTACCCTCTTTCAGTTTAAAACCATTACCCCTCATTCCTATCACTATACCCCCTGAAAAGTTCCTCCCCATCTTTCCTGTAGGCCCTTTCTAAATAATGGAAGGCTACTATGATGTCTCCCTGAGCCTTCTCTTCTCCAGGCTGAACAACCCCAACTCTCTCAGCCTGTCCTCCCAGCAGAGCTGTTCCATCATTTCTGTGGCCTCCTCTGGACCTCTCCAGCAGGTCCATGTCTTTCCTGTGCCAAGGGCTCCAGAGCTGGACGCAGCACTGCAGGGGGGTCTCACCAGAGCGGAGCAGAGGGGCAGAACCCCCTCCCTCGCCCTGCTGGCCACGCGGCTTTGGATGCAGCCCAGGACACGGTTGGCCTTCTGGGCTGCGAGCGCACATTGCCGGCTCATGTCCAGCTTTTCACCCATCAGGACCCCCAAGTCCTTCTCGGCAGGGCTGCTCTCCATCCCTTCATCCCCCAGCCTGTACTGATACTCAGGGTTGCCCTGACCCAGGTGCAGGACCCTGCACTTGGCCTTGTTGAACCTGATGAGGTTCACACGGGCCCATTCCTCAAGCTTGTCCAGGTCTCTCTGGATGGCATCCTGTCCCTCAGGCATGTCAGCCACACCACTCAGCTTGGTGTGGTCTGCAAACTTGCTGAGGGTGCACTTGATCCCACTGTCTATGTCATGTAAGCGGCTATGTCAATATGTCAGTAAGCCTCTCTGTAAATAAGAGGCTAAAGCCAGTCTCTTCTCCCTAGAAAGCTCATGTTCAAATTCAAGGGAATAAAATTCAAAACTCACCTAGAAGGAAATTCGAGTTCACTTTCTGGTTAAGCAAGTAGTTGTTTTTATAAATATTTTGTTTTCACTGTTCTTTACTTAAGAAACTGCCTGCCCCTTGTTTTGCTTTTCTCTCTTTGGAAGATTATAGTTGACTTGCAGCTTTAAAGAAAATATTGTAAACTCAAAGCAACAACTCAGCTGAAATCTAGTCTGACTAAAAGCCAGCACCACCTCCGAGTCAGTCTCAGAGTGGGCCAGCAGGTGTCACTCTTGAAAAGGGTGTAATTTTGGTGACAGCACCTGAAAAAAATGACATACTAGTATGGAACCTGACATCAAACCAGGGAAGTGAATTTTACGAATTTTAAAGGATTGCTACTACACCTTCATCGTAAGTCAAGGAAAAGAAACACACAAAGAAAGCTTTAAAGAATCCAACTATGTGTTGTAAGTGTTTGTTTTTACTCGAGCAAGTGTATCTAATAGCCAGAGTACTGCCCGTAAAAAATCTGGGAATCTAGGACACCTTGTATTCCCGAAAATTTCATGTTGTTACCCATAAAAATATACACGTATAAATATATATGTATAAAATCTTACCTATGTACAAATCTTTTGCTCTCTAAGTAGGCAAGTGCTGTGCTAAGCTGGTAAGCATAAAGTATCAGAGAGGCCAGATCCAAGCTGTATTTTCTTACTTGTAAAAATGATCTCAACTTTTTGTGCAAAGAAGGAAAAAAGAAAAGAAGTTAGGACAAAAAAATAACAAATTTGAATGAGGCATATCTCAAACTGTAAAGTTTACATGAGTATCCACGGGTATGCCTTTCCTTAAGACTGGATGAGAATACAAAATCACTTGCCGTGAAGAAATTTGAGACTCTAATTTCAAGCAGTTTTTTGTACCTCAGAACTGTTAGCCAAACAAGAAAAAACAAATTTGTGCATTGCTCTCAAGGCTCCTTTCGAAGACTTACAGCGTATGCCACTGCTGTTCCAGAGAAAAGCACTCCTGGACTTTTTAAGCATTCTTCCTTGGAGACCTGTGCACATTTTTGGCCTAAATAATTTCAGAACAAAACAGTACGTGGCCAATCTGAACAGTGATTAGATCAGTATTGTTTTGGAAGCATTTAATATTAATCTCCATTTGCTAACAACTGTATTTAGCTTATGGTAGCCAGTATCAATGCAGAATTTTTATAAGCTGTATTCCTAGTATAAGGCAGTTAGGACCCAGTGGACGGTGGCACTAGAGTCTCCTTATAAATTAAAACAAGGCTTTGAAAAGTGATTTGGACACAGGAAAAGAAATCTGTAATTTTTTGCCAGAAAGTGACTACTCTACTACAGGTTTTTCTGCCTTTTTTTTTCCCCTTGGACAACGTATTGCAGTTTGATAATTACAATGACTATCTTACAATGCAGTATGAAATATCACTTAACCTCACATTTTCAGAAACAATGCAATTCAAAGAAAAGAAACAGATTATGAAAACATCTCGTTTTGTTTAAACCATTCATCCAAAAGACGTAATAATGAGGAAAGGCACCTTATCTAGGACCTCTGCTGCAGAGACTGTACAGAAAAAAACCCCTCTAAGAAATTCAGAATTTCCAAGGGAAAATGCAGTATTACTCAGGAAAAGATGTACGACATGATTTCACTTCTAGAAGGCATCTCTGCAAATGCTGTTTAAATGATACTGCATTATCATCATCTTGACACAGGTCGTGCTCTCGCTCTGGAACAGCAATTGAAGTTCTCTGAAAACTATGACCACATCACTTCGGTATGAGCTGATGCAGTGGAGGACTGATTTGACTTAGGTCAAATTCTGCCACTACTGTTTCTGAGTCCGTAATTCTACAAACAAGTATGGTAGCACATTTGAGGAGAGTCCCTCTGCGTTAGTACCGAGAAGTAAAGATATCTGTGAGCTAAAAGACAGACCAAAGCTGCGTGAGGATTTTTCATACCTCTCCAAGAGTACAGAGCTCCATGATTATCCAAACTGGGTTTTCTGTAATAACTCCAATGAGCTTCACAATGTGAGGATGATCAAACTGACGCATTGTTACTAAAAGGAAAAGAAACAAGTTGGTGTGTTACATAAAACCTTTTTGTTTTAAATAGAAGTAAAAAATTCGGTTAAGCACTTAGTCTATGAGCAGGAAATACAATCACAATTCTGCAGGACTTAAAACAACTGCTTACAAGCAATAATGTCTGGTCATTTAAGTTTCTGCAGGCAGTATGAAACACTGCTCGCTTTACTAAACTTCTGTAGAAGGTACATATCAAGTCAGGTTCTCTGGCTCTTCTGCCCTGGTTGAGCATAATATAAGTTAATGTAATGACCTATCAATCCAGTGTACGACCAATTAACTTGTACCTCTCTACTGGAGCGGGTGGAAAGAAAAAATAATATGTATAATTCAACGTCTGTAACACGTGTCAGTTTACAACATAGACAAAAATCTCATTTAATGATTACGTTCACAACTCCTCTTTTTTCCATGGACTTAATTAGCTTTTCAGTCTCAGCAGTGCAGTCACAGTATATTTTATGCAATAAGACATACAAATCATAGAATGGTTTGGGTTGGAAAGAACCTTGCAGATCATCTCGTTCAAACCCCCACCCTGCCCCCACCATGGGCAGGAGTACCTTCCACTAGACCAGGTTGCTCAGAGCCCCATCCAGCCTGACCTTGAATGCCTCCAGGGATGGGGCATCTACCACCTCTCTGGGCAACCTGTGCCAGTGTCTCACCACCCTCACAGTAAACAATTTCTTCCTATTGTCTAATCTAAGTGTACTTTCTTTCAGTTTAAAACCATTACCCCTCGTCCTACCACTACACTCCCTGAAAAGAGTCCCTCCCCATCTTTCCTGTAGGCCCCTTTTAAATAATGGAAGGCTACTATAATGTCTCCCCGGAGCCTTCTCTTCTCCGGGCTGCACAACCCCAACTCTCTCAGCCTGTCCTCACAGCAGAGGTGCTCCAGTCCCCTGACCATCTCCATGACCCTCCTCTGGACCCTCTCCAACAGGTCTGTCCTGTGCTGAGGGCTCCAGAGCTGGATGCAGCACTGCAGATAGGCTCTCACCAGAGTGCAGTAGAGGGGCAAAATCACCACCCTCAACCTGCTGGCCACACTGCTTTGGGTGCAGCACAGGATGCAGTTGTCTTTCTGGGCTGCGAGCGCACATTGCTGGCTCACATTCAGTTTTTCACCCATCAAGACCCCCAAGTCCTTCTCAGCAGGGCTGCTCTCAATCCACTGATCACCCAGCTGGCATCCATGTTTGGGATTGCCTCGACATGGGTGCAGGACCTTGCACTTGGCCTTGTTGACCCTCATGGGCCCATTCCTCAAGCTTGTCCAGGCATCCTTCCCTCTAGAGTATCAACCACACCACTCAGCTTGGTGTCATCTGCAAGCTTACTGAGGGTGCACTCAATCCCACTGTCCATGTTCCCAACAAAGACTTTGACTAATACCAGTCTAGAGAACAAATCTTATGAAGAGCACCTGATGGAACTGGGGTTGTTTAGTCTGGAAAATGGCAGGCCTGAGCAGAGACCTTATTGCTCTGTACAACTACCTGAAAGAACGTTGCAGCGAGGTGGGTGTCTGTCCCTTCTCCCAAGTAACACACAATAGGACAAGAGGAAATGGACTCAAGTTGCACCAGGGGAAGTTTAGATTGGATATTGGGAAAAATTTCTTCACTGCAAGGGTTGTCAAGCACTGGAACAGGCTGCTCAGGGAAGTGGCTGAGGTATTTAAAAGACGTGTAGATGTGGTGCTTAGGGACATGGTTTAGTGCTGGACTTGGCAGTGTTAGGTTAATGGTTGGACCTAATGATCTTAAGGGTCTTTTCCAGTCTGAATGATTCTGTGGTCTCAGTACAGACCCGTGAGGGACACCACTTGTCAGTGGTTTCTATTCAGACATTGAGCCACTGACCGCAACTCTTGAGTGTGACCATCCAGCCAATTCCTTATCCAGCGGGTAGTCCATCCATCAAATCCATGTCTCTCCATTTTAGAGAGAATATTGGTTGAGACAGTATCAAATGCTTTGCACAAGTCCAGGTGGAAGTCTTCCCTTATCCGCCAATGCTGTAACCCCATTGTAGAAAACCACCACATCTGTCAGGCACAATTTGCCCTTAGGGAAGCCATGTTGGCTGTCATCAACTGCCTCTCCATTTTCCATGTGCCTTAGCATAGTTTCCAGAGGATCTGTTCTATGACCTGGCCAGGCACAGAGGTGAGACTGACTGGCCTGTAGTTCCATGGGTCTTCCTTTCTTCCCTTTTGAAAAATGGGATTATGCTTCCCCTTTTCCAGTCACTGGGAACTTCACCAGTCTGCCATGACTTTTCAAGTGTGATGGATAGTGGCTTAGCAACTTAATCTGCCAGTTCCCTCAGGACCATCAGATACAGCTCATCAGGTCCCATGCACATTCAGGTTCCTTAAATGGTCTTGAACCTGATGTTCTCCTACAGTGGGCAGTATTTCATTCTCCCTGTTCCTCCTTTTGGATTCTGTGAATTGGGTGGAGTGGCTGAAGCACTTGCCAGTTAAGAGAGAGGCAAAAAGGTTGCTGAGCACCTCAGCCTTCTCCATGTTGGTTGTAGCCACGTCTCCCATTTTGCTCATCATGGGGATACAGCTACTTTCATCTTCCTTTTTTTTGTCCTATGTGCCTGAAGAAACTCCTCCTTCTATTTTTCATGTCCCTAGCCAAGTTCAGCTCCAGCTATGCCTTGGCTTTCCTGATCCTCTCCCTGCACTCTCCGGCCAGGCCACATACCTATAACCTCCCCTAGATGTGTATCCCTGCCTCCATTGCCTATGCATTTTGTTTTTGTGAATTAGTTTGGACAAGAGGTCTTGACCTAGCCAAGCTGGCCTCCTGCCTCCCCTGCCTGACTTTTTGCACATCGGGATTAAGAGCTCTTGCACACTATGGAACATGCCTTGAAGTATCTCCCACTTCATTTGCTCCTTTGCCTCGGAGGGGTTTCCCATGGGATCCCATACACTAGCACCCTAAACAGCCAAAAGTTTGCCCTTTTGAGGTTTAAGGTTTTGACTCCACTTTTTACCCATCCCGCACCCCTCAAGATTGAGAATTCCACCAGGGCATGATTACTGAAGCCCAGGCTACCTCCAATCTTGACCACTCCAGTAAGTTCTTCCATGTTAGTAACAGGTCCAGCAGTGTCTCTACTCTGGCCAGGGTCTCCATCACCTGTACTAGGAAGTTGTCCTCAATGCACTCCAATAGTCTCCTGGACTGCTTGCAGTTCATTGTTCCACTTTTCCAGCAGATGTCTGGGTGGTTGACGTCCCCTATCAGGATCAGGGCCTGCAAGCGTAACGCTTCCTGCAGTTGGAAGAAAGAACTCTTCACCAACCTCCTCTTCTTGATTGGGTGGCCTGCAGTAGACACCAACCACAAAGTTTCCTTTATGGTTTGGTCTCAAATTTTCACCCATAAGCCCCTGACCTGTGCACTGCTGTTCTTCAAAGATAGCTCTGTGCAATGCATTTTTGGCATAGAAGGCAACTCCCCCACCTCTCCTTCCTTGCCTTCTGAGTAGTTTATAACCATCAATCACAGCACTCCCACGGTGTAATTCATCTCACCAAGTTTCTGTGAGAGCAATCAGGTTGTAGTTTTCCATCTGGGCAGTGGCTACTAGCCCCTCCTGTTTGTCTCCCATGTTGTGTCCACTGCTATAGAGGTACTTCAGCTGGGCTATCAGCCACATTCCCTTTTTAGAGGAGCTTGCCCTAATTCCCTTCAGGCAATTCACAGGTGTTTTACCTGTTGCTTCCTAATTCCTCAGCAGCCCCTGGCCCTTGAGTGCTTAGAACTCTACTCCCTTCCCTGCTAATCCAGTTTAAAGCTCTGCTTGTAAATCCAGCCAGCTTATTGCCCAGGACACTCTTGCCCCACTTGGGCAGCTGAGCCCCGTCAGCTGTCAACAGGCCTGGTGTCTTGAAGGTATGCCCAAGATCACAGAAGCAGAGACCTTGAGCATGGCACCAGCTATGCAGCCAGTCATTCACCTGTTCAATTTGTCTCCTTTTGCTCTAACCCCATTTCCCGACTGGGAGCATAGAGAACACCACCACCTGTGCTCCCGATCCCTTTGACATCGTTCTGAGAGACATAAAGTCTCTTTTGATACTTGTGAGTTGCCTTGTTGCAGCACCATTCGACCATGCTTGAAATAGTAGGAGTGGCTGGGAGTCCGCCGGCTTTTACAGGTGCCGCAGCCGGCTTTCCCAGTTTCAGCAGCCTCTCTGTCACACCACGGATGTGAGCTCCAAGCAAGCAGCAAACTTCTCTTGAGACTTTGTCTGGGCAACAAATGGGTGTTTTGGTGCCTCTCAGCAAGGAGTCTCCAGTTATAAATACCCTACATACTTTCCTGGTGGCACCAGTTCTAATGCAGGTGAGCAGCTGGACCAACTTTGCACAGCTGGCCTTTCCTGGGTCTTGCCCGTTACTCTCTCTTCATTCTCCAGCCCCAGGGCATCATACCTGTTACGCAGGGACACTTCAGGTGGAAGGGGAAGATTCCTCCTCCTGCCCCAAGCAGAAACAAAAGTCTAGTCTCCTTTGTCTTGGGAGTTGGTTGAATCTGTCACCGCAGGGTTGGAAACAAGCTTATCTTCCTTTGCAAACTCTGAAGGCAGGGCTGTCACTCAGCTTGTGACAGCACACAATACCATGCATCAATTTCTTGCTCAGACGCTTGGATACCGCACTGCCTGTTAAGTTCCTCTTGTAACATGGCCAATTGCTTGAAGAGTTCCTCCAGCTGGGCATGCTTGCACCCATGACATCCACCCCTGCCTTCGGACCCTAGGAGGACTTCCAGGTTCTGGAGTTCCATGCAACTCTGGTTCTGAGCAGCAATTTCAGTTCTTGGGGGATCAGTCTGGGTATAGGTGTCCACACAGGAGGTTTTATCACTTCCACCTGGGTTTCAGTCACAGCTTTGCAGTTGTGGTGGGCACAAACCATTTTGTTTCAACAGGAGGCCATCTCCATCTGGCTCCCAAAAGAAAATCGCCCATTTTCCAGAGCTCTCCCTCTCTGCGTGCCTTTCTGTGCAAACTGCCACGCTATGCCCTGTTTGCCCGCTCTGGTTGCGAGTGCTCCCCAAGGGCTGCCTTTTACACGGGCGGGGGTTGGCTGAGGTTGCTCCTGGCCCTGCCCAAGCCTCATCAGCCCCTCTTGTGACAGGTGTTGGTTCCCGGTGGCTCTTCCCATGACCCTGGTGTTGCTCCGGTTCAGGAAACTCCCCTGCACACCACTCTGCTGTGGAACGTGTCATTTGTGGAACACCACATTTAAGTGTCCTGACATTGCTCCTGGATCTGCCCAAGCTTCATCAGCCGTACTGGCGATGGCTGCCAGCGCCTGGCACAGCCCTCGTTCAGGAAACCTCCCTGGACACCGCGCTGGAGCGCTCTCCTGCCAACACTGGAGATGCTCACCTTGGCAACTGACTCAACGCTTATCCATGTTTTGGGGAGGTGTATTCAGTAGGTTAAATGAAGCATCAGTCCTCTGGTTAAGTTCTTCTCTTCCAACATACACATGACAAATATCCTTAATTTAATCTTGACAACTATCCTTAATTTAACCTTAAATTAGTATCTCTTGTACATTTACAGGTTGTAGCGTCAACAGAAATACATGGTAATTACGGAACTGGAAAATCTGCTTCAGTTCACCTAAAATTAGGCAAGAATTGAAAACACTTGTTTTTTGGATTTAATTAATCACAAGCTAAAACCAGCAGGTGGTTTTGGATTCCTATTCTGATCGGCTCTGAATTCTACTTCTGTACACTGATACATAGCAGCTGTGTAACCAATGTATCGTGCAACAACACAAACCCCAAGAAAAATCCTTGGACAATACTGCCCATAAAACCTATTGTTTAATAGTTCACTAACATATTTTGCTGTAAAGAAGCCTATATGGGCAAACTTAAGATAACATATTCTTTAAAATATTAATGTGTTATGAATAATACAGAAGAAGTCAGTAAAAACAAACATCCCCATCAATGACATAGCTTAATGTATTAATAAAAAGGAATAAAAAATGTGGTGAAATGTCGAATGGGCAATAACAACTGCTAAAATACTCCATGGATTTGAAGCTAGATTGCTAAGTCACTCAAATCCTCTCTTCCCTTTTGAAGTAAACGGAGTTTCGGAGAGGGAAGCTATTTCTGACACCTCAAAAAAGTAAGCATTGCTAAACTAGTACATCTGAACCCAATGTTAGTATTAAAATCCTGGCAAATAAAGTGTACACTCCAAACAAACCCCAATTATTTAACTTGTGCTAATCTCTTGTGCTAACCTAACTCAATGCATATACAGATTTTAGCATATACAGATGCATTAATACTAATACAGCGCTACACAAAAGCGGACAGGAATGCAGAGACAGGTGCTGCTCGTAAAAACATATTCTTTGATCTACTTTTTATTCTGTGGTGTTCCTTCTTTCAAGAATTAATACTAAATCTTTTCAGCATTGAAAACACCACAAGCTAACAACTAAAACTCCAAAATAATTGAATATCCCTAATAATAAATTAACATAATAGGAAAAAAAATTCTTAATTCAGTGAAATAATCGACCCCGCCTCCCCAGATGTTGGATTTGGGTCTTTTGAAGAGTGCTCTTAAAAACTAGGAGGCAGCATCTGCTGAGAGTTTGCAGTCTGAACACAAACAAGAGAAAGGTAACAGATGGGAATTAGAATTTAAAAAAAAAGAAAGAAGACACGGCAAAACTATTAAATCAAAACTGAAAAGCACTATTTATCTGTCTACTAGGTTGGCATTTCCTAATCTGTCAAGCTCAAAGCATAATAACGACCATTCAATGAGCAATTATTTTCTACATTGTCAAAAGACAGCAGCCTACCTTTGATTGGTAAGTTATTACTATAAGCAATGGCATTTACTTTTCCAACAGCTAGAAATGTAATGGAAAAAATTATAGCAATTTAAGAAAAATCTGACAACCAAAAATAAGAAGCTATTAGCTACAAACACAGATTTTCTGAACAATGAGAAAAAAATCCTTGAACAAAGGAATAGTGAATAAAAGCATACTGTAACATCTGGCCATAACCAAATAATTTATTGATATAATACAACACCTTTACGAGATTTATAGATACACAATAGCAGAAAATAAGAGGTCAAAATTAAGGCCTAAACCTTGTATCTTAATTTGCTTACAAAACCAAAGCAGTAACTACAATAATCTTCAGAAATTTTCTGTTAGTAGTCATCTCAACAAAAAACCTTCCTCCATCTATCAAATGTTCTGTTTGGGGAGTGCAATATTTGCGGGCCATCAATTGGAAAATCGGTTTATCCCATCAAAATTTTTAATTCCGATTTTTCAAAACAGATCTCTCTTAGACATAACATTTTTAGCAACTTTGTTAACAAAGACAGCCCACCTGAGTGTCTAAAGTAATACACTGAAACAAGTGCTACTTTTTTTTAAATTCATTAAGAAGGAAATAGAGGATCAGATCTCTAATATTCCAAAACCAGCTGTGAAGCCTTACAGGAGTCAGACATTACTGTTCAACTTGGAAAAATCAAAGAACCCACCTTTAATCATATACATGGGCAATGCAAGGATGTAAAGCAAGTCTTTCTGGCACATATTGCAGGAGAAGAAAAGGTCATGCGAGATATTAATAAAAGATTTACATTAGCATCAAAAAGTTTCTGGCACAGATGGCTGCAGTCTTTGCAAGGACCAGTTACAGAAGCTACCCCAAAATAACTATTTTAATACTCACAGGCTTCTTGTAAGAATTTTTCTCTAACGCTGTCTGAGGTGCAGTTTTTACATGTTTTGATTGCAACAGCCATAGCTGGATTTTCCTGAAAGACATGATTGAGAAATAACGGAAATACAGCCCACAAAAAGCTAAGTCCTTTAAAATTCTAGCAAAACTGCTTTAGAGAAAAATACTATGAACTAAAATGTCTTTAGTTAAGAAATTACATTTTGATAGCTTCAATGGTTAAAATACTATTATAATCAAGACACATATTATAATCAAGTACAACAGTCACATCTAAAGCACCCACGAAATATTTAATCTGTTTTAAACTATGCTAAATCGTACAAAAACTCTGACAAAGATAGTAAGTTCAACTGAATAGTGCTGTGAACTTTTTGCATTATTGAGGATGGTAAACTCTTGACAATATTTAGCAAAAGCAGAGGAAACAAGTAGGTAGATGCCTAAAACCCACATTTGGCTTATGCGAGCAAGCAACCTGGAAAGTCAAATAAAGGACTTTTTGTGGCTCTTGTAGAGCAAAGATTGGCCGTAATTTTGTACTAAAATTACAATGGAAATTAAACCAAAGATTTTACATATGAGCTTCACAATCAGTTGTAGCAAGGGCTTAAAACAGAGTTAAACAGAACACATGTATTGAAAATCAGAAACAGATTTTACCATCTGATTTTTTATCCATTGAATACTGAAAAATGAGAAGCAATGAGCCAGCCCAAAGGAGGCCTCTTGGCTCAGGCAGCATCCTTCATCTTCTCCTGCTTTGGTGTGTTTTACAAATACCATTTCCATAAGTTACAGACAGCACAGAGAATCTGCAAACGTTTTTCTCCTGAAAAGAAGCTTTAGGTGTTCAAGCTTCACTAGTATTCAAAATGCCACGACTTACTTCAAAAATGGTATTTTTACAACATAGTGTATCCCCACAGCAACATGCAGTGCTCAGATGATGTCACTCCTACAAGTTCTTAATGGGTTGAAAGCCACTGAAATGGTACTAAAATTAAGCTTCTAATCAGGTATAGGCCTGCTCAAGGACTAGTATGCCTTCCTTCCAGCTGGGAAATTGGGAATTATGCATTGGTTAATAGGAAGATTACAAATGAATCTTTCCCCAAAAGGGTTGATGTATGCCCTCACCTAGTTTTTAAGGTCAGCGAGAGCTGAAGATTCACAGAGTTATGTTCTATGTCTGCTCATGCTTGCTCTATATTAAATCTATTTGTACAGACAAATTATCAGAATTAGAATAGTATTTACATTTTGTAGGTTTTAAAGAAAGGTCTATTTTCTAAGTTACAACATAGCTCTTCAAGTTAACTTTGCAGGAAAATATTGATTAAAACCTTCTCTCATACATAAACATGCCTATAAACTGTCTAAAAAACTGGTGGTAAATTAAGATTATTTTATTCCCTTCTGAAATCAGGATTCAGCAATTAGCATGGGATGAGCCCTCCGGAGGCCAGCCAGACCAAGTGTAACCGGTTGTTACAGATAAGAGTTTTGAAACATCTCATAACCATAATATTAGCATCAAAAGAAAATTTCAGTGTCTGCAACCGGCGAAGACTTCAGACATTTTGCAAAATGAATACAGGAAAAGGCCCGATACCAGGCTTTAGCTAATGTTTTGTTTTTGGATAAGGAAATAAAACAGTAAGGATGTATCAGACTGGCAACAGTTTGTGTACTGAGCAGCAAATGCTGTTTTAAATCACACTTTTGGATTAATCTCACAGTAAATCAGCCTTTAAAGACAGTCTTATTTGAATTGCATACATCTAAGCAATAGCATCCTGTATGTATACATGTATTTTCAATTCAGTACCCTATACAGGCTGGTTGTGGTATAGCAGGAACACCTAGTAGTAAGCAGCATTTGAGAAAAGGTGGATGCTGCACAGTCACTAGAACAAGAACTTTACAAGTGCAGCAAACAGGGATAAATGAGATTTTTCAGATTCAAATTTGAGCTAGCAGAACACTAAGCTAGAAATCTCTCCTATGTTTTTGCATGCAAGCTGCATATACACAAGGATGGAAACACTATCACATTATTGTAACTAATCTTTAACTATTGTAGGATTTCTTCCAGAAGTTTAAGTTACACTCTGTGACTAGTACATTAAAATTTAATGATAATACCTTTCTGTTTTCCCTTCACATATTCAAGTGTCTTAAAGGTAGCATAAAATTTTATTAATAAAAGTAATCATCAGGTTTTAAAATTCATTTTAAAAAGTCATACTAGACACAGGATGACTGGACAAAAGCTGTTTTCCAATTCAAGAAAAAGAACAGAGAGAGACAGCGTTTCAAAACAATAGTCCCTAAGAAAATGGGTCTTTAAATTGGTTTTACAGAGCACTAGATTTATCCACTGTGCCCCAAGTTCAGTGAAACATTACTCCTGTTAACTTGGACAGGATTAAATGAAAAATAAGGACCTCCCTTAATGCAAAGTATATCAGAACTGCTTTTCTAATTGAAGATACCAGAACAGGCTTCAAACCTCTCTGAAATATATAATGTTCATCCTTATTTATTTACTTAAATATTGCATTAAAGATTTATTTATTTAACCCACTGAGCCCAGGACGCTACCTAGATGTTTCTGGGAAATGGTGTTTCTGAAGTTAGAACTAGATTGTTGTCCACATGAAATATTACTTCATCTATCGAAAATTCAGACACTTAATTTCTTCAAATGAGAAACAAATCTTCATTGTACACTTCCAGAATTAGTTTATTACAAGCTTGAAATTGGTTGACATTAAATAATTTCCCAGCTTTCTCTTGCCTTTTTTTCCACAAACTGAATTTTTCATCCATTTAAATTGCCATCTTAATCTTTGTGGCTGCAGTTTAGAAAAACACATAAACACCAGTCTAAATTACACAAGTCCTGCCAAGCTCATTGGTTTCACTGAGGTGACTCTTGTACATTGGGGTTTTGCTGGATCAGGGCCCAAGTATTTTGTAACTTTCCTTTCAGGAAAAAGTAGTAACTTTATTAACATGCAAGCTTCTTTGCGAGAGATATAGCGAGATGCTCACAGGAGCAACACAGTTATGTAACATTACTGTTGCTCTGCTGTAGGCTACTGCCCTTCCAGCATAACAGACTAAGATTCCTTCTCTGTATTTCAGCACTTAGTTGAAACATGAGAAATACTCTCTACATGCTGATTATTCTGCAAAATATATCACAAAGTCAATTTTTATTTGTTCTGGAAGAATCAGACCAAGGCATCTAAGGAATAAATTTATTTTTTATTTTGTTTTTCAAGTAGAAAGGTTTTATTGTTTGTTTGTTTTTATTTCAGAAGTGAGGCTTACCGGACTCATGTAAACTCCTTGGTGTACATCTCCGAACTGTCCTTCACCAATGCAGCGCCCCAGTTCAATTCTCTCCCTTTGAATTTCATAATCTCTGGCTATAAGAATATAATGCACTTAAAATATCAAATTGCTGAAGAAGGGCAAAGAAATAATCCACAAGATACGAAACCCAAAGTAAGTTATTCAAATGTCTCAGGTATGAATAGGCAGGATTAACATTTGCTGCACACCAACCTATACAAATGCTGTATACACACAGTGGAAACCTCTTAAACAAACGTTTGATTCAAAGCAATGAAAAAGGAATTGTGAAATCTAATTTGCTGAATTAACTACTATGCATTATTTATTTCAATGCAGACGTAATTGAATATTTTCAATAGACGTAATTGAATCCTTCTTAATAATACCTAGTAAAAGACAAAGAACACAAATAGCCTAGGGCAATACCACAGAATATCGGAATCATTAAGGTTGGAAAAGACCTTTAAGATCATCAAGTCCAACCATCAACCCAACACCACCATGCCCACTAAACCGTGTCCTGAAGCACCACATCCACGCGTTTTTTGAACACTTCCAGTGATGGTGACTCCACCACCTCCCTGGGCAGCCTGTTCCAATGCCTGACCACTCTCTCTGTAAAGAAATTCTTCCTAGTATCTAGTCTAATATCCAGTCTACCAATGGTATTAAAAACATCCTTAGCACACGTCCGTTTTTTAAGAGAATTCCACTATGTGGTATTTAAGATTTCAAAACCATCAAATGAGCCCGGAGAATTTTTAAAGAGGTAACTGCAAGAAAAAGAATACAGAAACAAGAGCAGAGCAAATACAGATAAAATGAAAGAGCAAAATTTTGAGTGCACTAGACCTCTATCAGTGTGTAATTGAAGTAAAATTGCTATGTTTTGTGGACTTATGCAATTTTGTTAAGTTGGCTGTTTAACAGACTGAGAATATTACTGATAAAAATGGCTCAGTACTTCAGCAAAGCATGTAATCAATTGCAATTGAATTACTTCATTTGCAATTTAATTTCTAGCAAACATGGAAAAATATTTCAGGAATAGTAGAAAAGCATGTACAGTATATGTTTTCACCTCTACTTGTATTATTCAGCAGAAAAAAAAAAATCAACCAGCTTAGGACTTCATGACTGATGATTTTGTTAGCACTACAGAAATAATGTCATCTAGAGCTGGAGAACAGTGTGATAAATGTCTTTTTCATCTCTTTTTTTTAAGTGCTGCATTTTCCTCTTTAAAATCCCAAAGCTAACTGGTTTAACTACAAATAAATAATGTTTATTAATGAAAGTGAATAGTAAACTTAAAAATTCCACATCATTCCAAATTGCAAGCATACAGGGATGGGTAAAGGGTCTCCTGTTACCTTCATCTATTCCATAGCTTTCTGCAGTGCAATTAAGAGAAAAATCAAATGCTTACTTAGATATAGCTTCTTAAAATCAAGACAAGGACAAACATTTTTTAACATTGTTTTAAAAAATGAAGAAATATACTGATGTAATTTTAAGTTTACATTAGCAGAAGTCACAGGTCTGTTCTTGTGATCTTTACTGACTCAGTCCTGAGAGAGCTGAACACTTGAGTCCACTTCAATACAGCAAAGTACTTAATGAATTTCACTTCAACAGCCCATCTCACGGGCTTTGAATCGAAGGCATACTTAAGCATTCAGCATCATCCAGGGCTGGGCACACAAGTAATTACTTCAATGAGAATTTAAATGAAAAGATGGGGGGGAGGAAATCACACAAAGTTAATATATTAACAAAAATAAAGGATATAATTTATCACAGTACTTTTTTGATTCTGCAATTATTTTAGTGGAATCATGTAGTGACTTACTGCAAGACATTCAAAACACATTGTTTATTTCTGGAAAACATATATTCTCGCTTTTCAAGTATTTATGTTCAAATATATGTGTTGTTCAAAACATATATTCTTGCTTTTCAAATATTTTCCACAGTAGCGGAAACTACGTTGTAAACACTGAAATGATAACGAAACAATCCTGCCACATGGTGAACTCTAGAAATCCTTACATACATTCATGGTTCTTCAGCAGAACAAGGCATCAGTTTAGCACCAGTCTCCCCCCATTCTTACACTAACCAAACCCGACATTTTTGCACGTCTGCATATCAACTGTTTGTCTACTTCTAGAGAAATCCTTGGTTGCCAAAACGCAACTATAATTTTGCAGACACAACTTTTAAAATCAGAATACTAGACTTTCAAGTTAAATTATTTAGCCATGACACTTTAAAATTATATTATAATTCAAATGTGCCATAAGACAAAATCCTTGTGGTGGCTAATACATAATTTTTTTTCACTTCAAAGATGAAGACTCACAAGAACTTTGAACTTTTAATTTTGTTCCTGAAGTCTTTCATCTTTTAACAAAATTGCATGTGGTACAGATGACTTTCCTCTATCAAGGAATTCAAGAGCAGCAAGTCTGTCATAGAGCAAGGGTTAGAGACAGTTAAGATAGCTATATGCAGAAGCTTTCCAAAATCTTTGCTCTTATCACAGAAATTTTATCCATTCTGTCTTTAAGCATTGTGTTCAGCATCACAATCAAAAATTCTACAGTTTGGGACATAAAAGGAATTTCTCTGTGAAGTCACTCATGGCAGCAAAACAAAATCCGGTTTTATGTGCTTCAAAACCTGAACTTGAAAAACATCACAAAGAGTATTTTCTTGCCACACATGTTACTTAAGGCTGCAATACAACATTCAGTCCCTGCTAAACCAAAGAAGCTTTTGGACAGAAAAGTTCCCAAGTTAAATACCATACTTACTTGATGGCATTGTGTAAGTGTCTTCTTCATCTATAATCTCTGCATAGTCATCTGTCTCTGTAACGGGAGGAATTGAAGAGTTTCGGGGAAAAGCAGATGAAAACAATTGTCCAGAACAGTATCTCCAATTTATCAGGGCTGGTATGTCACAACCCCTGACTTCAACATTGTTGGGATGAATTTACAATAGCATGAATAAAACTTGCTCGTGCATAATTGATGGTATGATAATGACCTCAGTCCCCATTATAATACGTCACACAGATGCATTCAACAAGGAATAAAAGGAAGATTCATTTGTATTCCAAGAAGTCCAAGTTCTGTAACTGAAACTCATCTAAACTGTTGCCTTAAAAAGAAAATCTTTTTAACAGCAAATTCCACTGCACTAAGGAGAAAACATTATTAATGGATTAAATTGCTTTACCTTCAATAAAGCGTGAATAATAGTTTGCTAGTTTATGTCAAACAGGCAGAACAGACAGCAAAGATGTTCCAGGGCAGCATCTACCTACTGTCAGTAGGGCAAGGTCAGTTATTTTCCATAGACCATAAAGATCTTTTAAGTCACACCCTTGCCTTACACCCATTTTTCTTGCACTGGTCTCAGTTCTCCTTGTTTAGTGGAAATTCACCACCAGTTTTGCTATCAAGATCAACATCTCATGGACAGTGTTTGAAAACAAGTGCTCAAAATTTTCAGAAAAATGACAGTGTATTTCTTCCTCTGTTTAGAACTTACATCTTTCACAACATCTGTTCTCAAAAGGGTTTAAATGGTGTGAAGTCATATCAGAAGGTCCTTCTGTTGTTCTAAAGAACTTCCAGTGTGTGTAGGTCATTTCCTAAATGTCAGATAAATTCCTCCAAGGGTTACAAACCCAATCCACAACAGTGAGATAAATATTCATTGCAAGACTGTTAAATTCTGCTCATCAACTTTAAATGCACAGAGATGGTCTCAAAATTGAGTAATTTCAAATCCAGCATGCGGTTTTCATGGTTGGTTTCAGGTGATCACATACTGGGCCACCTCTGAAAGGCATGATTTACTCCCACTTTTTCCCCATCTGCCCTGGAGCATATGTATATCCCTACAACTCCCTGGCATCATCTCCAGAGGTATGGTTTCTCAGTGCTGAATGGGACAAAGCCACAATGGGAACGGAAAGGATGGGATGATTCCTTTTGGCAGCAGCTCTCAGTTCAACTAACTAAGACCAACTCTGAAACCAGAGCAAGTCTCATAAATATTACACATGTACATAAACAAGAGGCTTAATTTTCATAAAAAAAGAATATTCAACAATTAGGAAACTACAGGTTGCCTACAACCTTTGCAGTTCAACACACGTCAGTGAGTAAATGTAGTTTTATGATCTTAACTTCGTGCTACTTAAGTAAAATTAAAGCTATTTTTCTTTCCAACTCCTGTAGGAATATACTGTGTCTTGTAAAAACAGTATCAGGACATTCTATGCCATTTAAATTTTTGCTAGGCAATTTCTATTTAGGACACAGCAACACAGAGTCACATAATGAAAATTCAATTAATTATACAGACAGTGCACAATTCTAAACAGGCAGCATACTCCAGAGGCACTAATCTCTTTCTTGGTATCTTTTTTCCTCCCTACATTACCAACTAATGTTTTTGCAGAAAATAAACCCATTTGATCTAAAAAATAAGCATCCGTTTGAAAGAAATCATTAGTGTGACACCCATGTGATGGGGATAAATCACTGCTTCCTTGTAATGTGGTAAGAGGTTTTTAGTTTTCATTAAGTGTGGTATGTATTGACTACTGTTACAAGCTAACATTTGAGGATACCAGAAAGTTCTTCATCTATGTACAAAAACGGACTGAATGAAAGGTATTATAAACATCTTTAAGAAGAACTTAAAAAGTCTGAAAACTAGAACTGGTGCCACAGTGGTTTTTAAAAGAACAAAACATGTCACACTACATTATGGAACAGTGCTTATAAAATGTGCTAAATGGTTTGGCCTGTTCATCTCTGTATTCTAAATTAATGAAGTTAATTCATAATAAAAGCATTATCAGAACACCACAAAGCACTTTACATGGTTTTGATACATTGCCCAAAACTGTCCTGAAACTAGAATGGTCTTCAGTAGCCAAGCCAAATTAATTAAATATATGCAATTAACTAAACAAATATTTCATGTTACACATTTAACATTCTGGAGAGGAATATGTAATAAGAATTCAGAAAATAGTTCCTATACATGTCTGGCATTGTTTCTGGGAATTAGAGGAAAATTCAATCATGGCATTAACAGTGATGTGCTCAAAGTGTTCTGCAGCACAGGTAACCGGCCTCCCTCACGTGCAGTCTTTACTCCACGATTAGAGTCATATAGCATGAGACTACTATGAAGTTCGCCAAGACTGTGACTATGTCTGCTAAGAGATACTCCAGAACACGGGATCTAAAGCATGGAGTCTAAAGCAAAACTCAGCTGGGCGAGGCTCTCCAGGCTGCTTTATGAAGAAGGATGTGCTATAGCAGTCTCAGGAGCTAAAAACTCACAACCAAGCAGCACTCAAGGAGATGTTCTGCCTTTGCGGCCCTTTTAAAGTCTAGAAAAACTAAGAGTTAAAAATAGGGCTCATTACTGCTGCGCTCTCACACATTTTAAAACCAACACTGAACCTTTTCATCTGTTGGCCAACCCCAGATTGCTCTAGATGGAAAAATGAATAGGTCTCTTCTGGACAAAGATACACTGTTGGTGGTATAGGTGAATGAGCCAATTTGCACTTTACTACATCTGAATGCATTTATTAAACAGTAGAGAAAAAACATCCTAGGATATTAAATCTGTAATATCTAATTCATGATCTTAACCACCTGTTTGAAATTTCCCTTTTTATGATCTTGTCCCATTTATCAGAACCTGTAATTTATGAAAGAAGATAAGCACCAATAAATAGCTATATAGGGTTAGTATCTGAAAAACAATTTCTGAATTTAAGACAGAAAAAACATCCTTTCAGTTTTTAACGTTTAAGAAAAGAAAGAAAACTGGGGTAATGTTATCTTCGATTTATATCTGAAGGAGAGAAAGGAAATGAAGTTATACACCCCCTTTACATTTTACTGAGAGGAAGACCACAAGATGTTATCTCTATTTCTTCTTATCGCCTTCCTTTGCATACTGCTTTTTATGCCCTCTTAGTATCTCCTACTTATAAGAATAAAGATACATACACTATCAGTAGTAGCAGTTTGATTTTTCCCAACATCAGATGGAATCCTTTAGAAAAATAGCTGAAAATCTCTTTTAAAAAAATAAAAACAAACCCCAATTTATTTTCGAAGGACAGCAAGTCAATATTTTCTAGAAAAAAAGACTTATAAAGTCTGGAGAAGTTAAATATTTTGTAGTATGTTTCAAAATGTTGAAGAAAAACATTAAAATCTGTCTTTAAAATTAGCAGTTTGAGTGGCTGAAACCTCATTAATATTCAATGTATTCAATTGACATTAATCTATCTTGTACAGCTTCTTTTTATGCAAGGAGCAGTAGTGGACTACACAGCACTTTGATGCTGCCATGCCTTTAAAGCCTCGCTTAGTAGCCTCATTTCTCATGCGTTACATCCATTGATCTCACTCACTGACCAAAAAAATTCTGACACAACCATTTCAATCAGACTGAATGGACCCTCTTGCAAACCTATAAACCTTCTTTGTATCATGCCAGAACTCTCATTGCAAACGCATGCAATACCACATCCCTGCGTGTTTGAAATAGTTTTTCTTTTTTCAATTCCAGTTTAGCAGAAAGTGTTAGTAGCACAGCCTGTAAAGCACAATATTTATTGGCTAGTGTCCAAAGCAGACTGCTTTTTAATACTAAAATCCGTATAAACTTTATTACTGAAATGGGCATTAAGTGATATATATATATATATATGGATATAAGAGTTGCATATTGCACGTTAGTAACACACAGACTAGAAAACATATTACCGTCCCCACTAATTTCATCTGCAGATCCAGGTGGCATGCAAGGAGAGAGAAAAAGAGGGGGAGAGAGAAGGGACAGAGAAGGGGGAGGGGAAAATAGACTATTAAATTCATGAGTAATCCAAAGTATTCAGACTGTAGTTATCTTATATACCTGACTCAAGAGAAATCAGAAAAGTAGCAGAATTTAAGACTTCTCACCTAAAACCCAAGGAACAAAGATAGGTTCTAAGAAGCTTGTATGATGAAACAGAGTTAATGACTTTCAAACACAAATTTACACAAAAATTAAATTTGGGAGTAGAACTAGTTATTTTAAAGCATTGTTAAGAAATGTCAATTCCTGGTTTTATTCAATACTTCACTACAAAATAGATCTATAGTCAGATGAGTCAGTTCAATTTGACTTTGCACACACACTTATGACTTTGGAAAAGAGGAGTTGGTGTTGACCCTTTCAAAGGAAATGCACTCCTGTGCTATCATGAAGACACACGTAAGAAATGGAGCCATCTAAGTACTAATTACACACAAGCATATTGCAATTATACAAAGCTGATATTTAAACGAGTGGCAAACAAAGCAACTCTACGGGGAAGATGTTCAAACGAGCATCATACTCCACATGTACTGTAGAGGCCCTATTGCACACCAATACCCACAGCACAAGCTGATGCACTTTATTTATAAATAAAAGGAATATGCACATTAATGTTGTAAAAGTAACACACTTATTACTGCAATTCTTCTTACCCCTAACAAAGCCAAACTGGTCCAGACCAAGTGCTGAACCAGTACGCACCCAAAAGCATCGCTGTAATCAGTATTTCATTAGAAGTGATCTTAGCTGATGCTTGTTGTTGCTATTCTATTTCATCCATAAGCATGCTGTATCAGGGGTCCAAGAATGAAGCAAAAATATATTAACCAAAAACCCCATGGGTATATAGGGGCTGCATAGCTATACAAATGAAATTAGTGATAGATTTGTCATTGTAACATATGATGCTTAAAAACCAGTCCCCCATAAAAATGGGGACCAGCAAGCTTGTGACACTGCATGAAAATCCAATTCAATAGGAGGAAAGAGGTTGCAGAAATTTAATGAAATGATTCTTGGAACTCTGTTTACCTAAGGCTAAAGTAGTTTAACAACAGTAAACGAGTTAGTATATTCAGCTTTTGGGTTAATAAGGCAGCCTATACAAAGAGCAGTGCAGTACCCTTAGGTGGCGGCTCATGGGAACAGAAGACGAAAGGGAGAAAGCGTCTAGCTTTCTTTACTTTATGCTGACAGTGATTGACTCCTTTACAAAGAGGCAAGAAAAGGAAAGAGAAAAACAGAAACAAATTATTCGGAAATAAAAGAAAAGAGACTGGAGAAAACATCTACAATGAACGAACATAAAAGTAAAGGTTTACATTACAGTCCCGTATACGCAAATGGTTATACGAATGTTGTTGAAGCTCTAAAGAATATTTGGTACTTCCCTTCAAATTCCTTTCTATGGCAAAGTTATTCTTATTTCAAGTCTTAAAAGTGAAACTAGAATCTATTAAAAAGTCAGCTTTTGCCAACTACATATGCCATCCATTGCCAACGCAAAGAACATTGTCTATCCCAGAAGTGTAACCCACTTTTGCAAACTCCCCATCTAAGTTCTACTAGACTGTGCTATAGCTAAATTCCGATTCAGCTGGCAGTCACCAAACTTAAACATAGACGTATCAACTTTCTGGACCCTTAAAAAGAACTTAACACAAAACAAGTATTCCACATAACAGGGTTACCTAGAACAAGGGAAAACACAGTTTCTCTGTCCCACTGAAATACAACACTGACATATTTTATGACCTGAAATCTGCCACTGGAGTTTTATCCCCAGTGCAGATCTGTCTTGCCAATTGATATTCTAGCTCTCCAGTGATGTCTGGGCAAACACCCCATGGTACTGTCCTCACTGTCCCCTTTCCTAGTCACTCTACTGCATTTAATTGGCAAAACGCTTCTTAGGAGGAGAGATTTTTGAGGAGAAAATACAAAGAAGCCACAACTGATTTCACAAAATGAGAAGGAAGGACACAAGACAACACTAAGAACCTGAGGATAGCTGCTCCTTTTATTTCTCCTGTGATCTGTTCGCTCCTCTCTGCTTTCCTCTTTTCCCTCTCTCCTTTACCTCAGGAAATGTGAGAGGTGGTTTAAAAAGCCAAGCAACTAAAAGACCTGCATCCTGCTGCTGGCAGTCCTTCACAGTCAAAACTCAAGAGTGAGGTCCAGCCACCTTGAATTATACAGGCTGGAGGTACAGGTGTTGAAAGAGAACCCCAAGTAGTGCAGAGGCAGCATACCAGTACAGCATACCAGTGAGTGGTGGGAGGAGTGGAGGAAGGGTGGAGAAGAAGGATTACCTTTTAATAAAAATAACTTCACACTTTATTCATAGATTCTGGAAACCTATGGACGACCAAAACAGCTATATTTACACAAAAGCACCATGTTATATGCAGCTGTGCAATTTTTAGTGGCCAGATTTTGAAGGACAATGTGCAGAATTTTTTTAAAGGTTTATCAAGTGTGTTCAATCACTGTCCAAGCTGAAGGCTGCATATTGAATTTCACGTATGCAAATCTAATGGGTAACGCACTACTATGTACAACCCATGCTTTGCTAAGATGGCAATTTTAATCCAAAGTAAAATCAAGTGGGTGAGATTTATCATCGTATCCTAAACAACAAAAAAGCACCATTATAAAAACTGCCGGGGTGATTAAACAAACAGAAATCATTCATCAATTGTGAAAATGTACATGTCATTGAAAATGACAGAACATTCATCAGATTCAATGCGAAATATTAAAAGAGGTGCAAGAGAGGGCAAAATTGTGGAATAAATTAGTGTATCAGCATTTCCATGCATATCACATCACTGCAATCCTAGGGACTTATCTTCCTGACATAGCATCAGAGAATGGTTTGGGTTGGAAGGGATTGTACAGATACCTAGTTCCAACCTCCCTGCCATGGGCAAGGACACCTTCCACCTGACCAGGTTGCTCAAACATCTCATCGTACAATTTTCAGCACCATCGTTCTAACACAGACCTGAAGTAACATTCATAAAAAGCTTTAGATATAGTATGAAAGAAAAGAAAAAAATGCTACAGCTATTTTAAGAGGCTAACGAAAAGGTATTGAAATGAGAATAAGGGAATCCAATACTCTGTACTGAAACAGAAAAACAGGTTTAAGAGCCACTGGAAGCAATGCAGAAAAGGGAAGAGATGTTTCAACTCTTGACCTGTCTGCTCAGGCTACAAAGCTAATTTAAGGTTGAAATGCTGAAATGCTGTTCACTCTTACACTGATACATGGGTAGGCTGACTGGAATCTGGATAACTTATTTCATATGAAGGCCACATTGGAACGACAATGGTGTTTTAAATTCATCATGTACGGGTCCTGATGCCCTTTGACACTCGGTCCAACTCGCCTTCTGCATTTCAAACTTTGCCTTTATGATTTATTGTCTAAAATTTATTCAACTATTCTGCCAGAATAAACGGAAGACTGCTTTGTCTTAAACTTACCACACCTTCAAGTCCAGCTACAGAAGAAAGTTTATTTAGGTAGAGAGTTGATTCTAAGTTTAAAAAAAAAAAAAAAGTTCCAATACCTTTTCAGGAGCTTAGCTGTCACCAAGTATGGCTATACATAAACACATAAACAACAAACCCCCAAACCTAGTACTGCATGCAACACTCCTTTAGTCATACTACAGTGTTACTACTAGCAAAGCAAAAGTATCTGCTCAAATCAGATGAATAGATCACAAAGGAGGAGCGTAGGAGAGTTAAGAACTCTTTAACCAACAACACAGGCTGATGAAATCAATGCAGTAACTTCCTAGGCACTGATACAGAGGAAATCTGTTTAGATCATCACCAGAGTTCATTCTGGTCTTCTTATGCATGAAAATAATCATTTTTGTCAGTCTAAAACACAAAAAGATAACACCAACAGTCTATTCAACTCTGATGGGAATCTGAAATACTGTAATTTATTAGCATTAAGAGAATTTTTAACTGTATTATCTTATTAATCAGCGGAACAGCTGGCTGAGTTAAGAAGCAAGTAACTCCCTTCATGAAGTTGGAGACGAATGACTTGCTCAAGGTTTGTAAAATTCATCTGCAGCAAACCTTTAGGTTTGAATGTCTCCCAGTCCTGTGACCATATGGCAAAGCTATAGCTGTACAAAGCCCTTATATTCCTCTAATTACTTAATAATTTGAATGTATAACTATGTAATTTATGCTAAGACTGCTAGTCTTTCTTTTCAGAAGTGAGCTGTAGAGTACGACATAACCAAGCTAGCAGACAGTCATAAGCACTCAAAATACAATTTTTCATATTAAAAATTTACTTACACTTTTTAGCATTGTCTTTTTGAAGTGACTTGATAAAATGAACATAAACACCCTCCAACTCTCAAGCAAAGAACACCTTTTTTTCCCTTCCAACTAATTCAAATGGAACTAGGAAATACAAGTCCTACACAAGAAACTCTTTCAGAGTTGAGCACAGGGCAGACCTTCATTTTGAGCACAGGAATCACAAAACAGAGCATGCACTGTGCTTTGCCAGCACAAGTGATTCAATAAAAATCGTACTTGTCTCTCCATCCCTGCTCACAGCTTTGCTTATGATTAGCACACACCGTTCACCCGTACATTCAAGTCCTTTCATATGCTGACATCTCCTTCACTAAGAACATTTTAAAGTGTTGTAATACTGAAATCAGGTGGATATTATTTATTGTTTTTTCCTCTACTGTTTTGTTGTGTTTTGACATTTAGATCCTGCTGTATTTCAGTTTGTTGTAGGTAACCTACTGGAAGTCTCTCTCACAGATGAACTATACCACGTAATTTTTTTTTCTGCATGCTAAAATCTCACTTAAATCACACCTATCTCATTCAAAAGATATTTTTTTTTTCGTTCTAATTTAAATTTCAGCTAAATGGTATGACTAAATGGGCAACTACTTCAAGCAGGATCTGCTCGTAAGTAGCACCTCAGAGAACTCTCATGCCAGTTCACTGCCATGATCAGGAGTTAACCACAGTATGTGATTAAGTGCAATGATATTATACTGTAAATCTAAGGCAGAACCTGGAAACTTGCTGAGAAGCCCCTCTCTCAGGATGCTAAAATCCTTCCGTTCCTATAGGGAAGCTCTCTCAAGAGATCCAATCTGTCCTTCGCAGGGCGTGTTATGGATATATCTAAACCATGGGATGCAGTTATAATTTCTTACAGAGTTACCATGAGCAAACAAATTTTCTTTTTTTCTCTCTATAGAGAGGCAATGGCACATTGGCATTATTAGAAACTTATGCCATCATATTATCATGCACTTACACCCCTTAAATGCTACTTGTGTTAGTAACAACAGCTGCGCCAGCTAGGGAACAAGATGACAAAGAAATTTCTCTTTAGAGATACCGATTTCCCCATTAAAGGCATGTGTCCTGGGGTCTGTTCCTTCGACGGCTTGAACAGTCTGCCTTAGCATCTGAAACAGCGATAATATTTTTAAACACCTTTCAATTTCCTTCACTAGATAAGGACGTATTAAAGCTGCAAAACCAGCAGCCGCTTTGAACCAAGACCAACCCTGTGGCCAGTCCCTAAAAGCCCCCTTCAGGCACATGCCTTGTGCTGGCTCTTGCAGAACAACTCATCCTCTTGCTTACTGTCATCTTTCCAGTCACAGCTCCCTCCCGACAAACACGTTATTTTATTCAGCAGTACCTGAATATCCAAATGCCAAGAGCGACTGCTTGGAATCATACAATCATTTACGTTGGCAAAGATCCTTACGACCGAGTCCAGCCGTAAATCTAACACTGCCAAGACTTCTTCAATATTCTGCTTGTTCAATACTCGCTGAAACAAGCGGGCCTGAAATGTCATATTCTGTACTACTGCATATAAAGTAACGTTTGAGCTATGATTAAAAAAATTTCTCTAGTGCAAAGGAGGCACAGCAATTAGCCAAGGGAAGCAAAAGCTTATTTATTCTTCCTAGTCGTATTTATATAGGTGAGGATCAGGCAGGAGAAACCAAAGAACTCTGTGTCAGATTTTATGTAAAAAAGAAGCCAGAAAACTAAGGCTTTATTGATTTCATTTTATGAAGAACTTTTTAGAATATAAAATTGACTAGGTAAATTATTATTTTTGGAAATATGTGTATCAGGAAATACGTGCATCACCTTACTAAGGCTAATGTTTGCTATTTCAAACAAACTGCTGGCCAAAACAAGTTCCTGTAGACTAGAGAATTTTAATAAGGCGACTCCAAGCAAAACAGCAGGAAATCCAGTCAATAAAATTATGGTAAAGTGGTATGCTGCTTCTTACAAATGTGATACACTATTTGCACAGAGCAAATAGTTTAGCCTTACTGTTTCCTGAGTGTACACTCTTGGCTAAGTACAAAGAATTATTTTTTAATGTAAAGACAGAAGTGAAGGGAGAAGGAGATAAAAGTCAGAAGTATCTACCTATTAGCTAAAACACTCATTGTTTCTGGTGAGTCACAGTAACTTAAACCAAAATATCAGATGTATACCAAAAAAATCTGAAATACAACTAACTTAATTTGGCTTCTTAGTTATATTTATCTATAATCCTACACACACGCACACTTAAAATTTGAGGATAAAATTGTTACTATGCTTTAAAAAATGGGCTACATCTGGCAGGCATCTTACTTGCACACAGTGAAAGACAGTGCCCACTCCAAGGAACATATAATTTGAAGAAATAAGGCAGACAAATAATACCATAAGAAACAGAAGCATGCAGTAAGAGGTGTGTGGTGAAACCTGGTTCAGTGACACACAGCCGTAAGAGAACACTTCTTGGCTCCCAGGTCCAGCAATCTGCTGCTCTGGATTCCTGAAACCAACTTCACCCTTCACTAGTTTGAAAAGGCCTTTATTTAGAGCAAAAAAACAAACAAACAAACAAACAAAATTTTAAAACTTTCTATCTTTGTATGCTTCGGAATATTGAAACACGTGGAAAGAACAAGTTCTCATTTCACTAGACCAGAAGTATTTCAAGGTATATTAATAAATATTTCAAAAAGAAAGACAAGGTGTCTTTCATTAATAGGCTCATTTTTAAAACTATAAAACTTCAGACAAGTACCTGAACTTTTAGACAATCTAATCATGTTCCACACTGGTTTCCCCAAATTGTAGTGGGGAACTCACTGTGAAACCTTCCGTTAGAACTACGGGTGTTAGTACTACAAGTATGTCTGATTCCTTAATTTTCCTGCCAAATGTCTGTCTCAGATTTTTGCTGTTTAGCTTTAGCATCGGGAGAGGTCTAAACAAAGGGGAGCAACTCACTGAAAATAAACAGCAGAGTTAATTTATGATTTGAACTACCAAAGGCATGAAGGATGTTACAGCTGTCAGTAAGTTATAAAAGCTTGTCTTATTTGAAGCCCACAGCTCCAAGTCATTTAAATGTCACCAGAGAAAAGCTCTTATTCTGCAAACCAAGACAGCATCACCCACAGCTGGCTTTGCATTGGATGCTGTCAGCTGTCAGACTCTGCTAACCTGTAACTCTCAGATTAACTAAACATTAAATACATCTGTTGCCTCCGCTGTTCCATACTGATGGATCAGTTTCGTGTGACAACAGGAACGACACTTTTTCACATGTACATGAAGTATTACTTCATTTATAACAAGTTGATTCCTTTGGGGACTCAGAGATTCTTACAGAAGGCGCCTCCCGAGGAAAAAGCCGTATCATGTAACTTCACCTCAACAATCTGTCTGTGGTTTAAATTTAATATACTGACATCATGCCACACTCAATGCATTTGAAATAATTTTGGGGCAAAAAACCTCAACAATAACAAAAAAGTATGTCTGTCTTCTACATACCCTTATTATATTAAAAGAAGAACAAGCCCTTGAGACGGAATAATAAATGCAATGGCTTGAATCACTCCAGTATTATGTCAGTGTTTCCGGTGGTTTCTAACATGGTATAAAAAACAAGCATCAAGCACAACAATTTCAGTGTGGAAAGATATAAAACCTTACTACCAATATAAGAAAAATACCTAACTGGTTTTGATTTTGGTACTGGAAAGAAAGAGAAGGACATTTTCTGGTTTAATTTTGTTGTTTTGCTTGTGGCATCAGGAGCCAGCTTTGCGCCTTATAGCTTCCTTGACGTTCATTTGGCACAACCAGCGCATCTCCAGCACTGCTCCTTCTGTTTCTTCTGTGGTGCTACAGCAAGGCTCTCATTTGCTCATCATTCACCTTTACGTGATGCCCTAAACACCACTTATGTGGCATTACAACTAACTTCCCTACATTAATATCAAAACACTAATTCAGTAGAGTAGAGAAGAAGCGAGTTTGTGCTCTGAGACGCAAGAGTACTTCATCACATATAATGCACCAAGCAAAAGATACCTAAATTTGCAAAGTCAAAGCGACAGCAATAAAGGATCATGAGGTAAGCATTTATGACTGCTTTCAATAGTAAAAGTATATCAGTGTTCTTAGAAGAACTGAAAGGGTGAAAATTTGAGGTGGCAGGGGCGTATGACTTTTTTGTCATGAAGATAAGCTTTTCTGCATGAGTGGAGTGAGTAAAAAGCACAGCACTAATCACTTAAGAAATTTCAACTTTTTCTAACAGCTAAAATGAGCCACAAAGGTTAAGTATCAAGAGAGAACATGCTGACCATGCTTCATGCTTATCTGCCTTCTCTACCATGCTTGTTTGATAGGTACTGAAGGAAGAAGAGCTGCTATTTGACTCCGAGAGGTAACAGTAGCTGATGAAGCTCTATTACATCTCCGCAGCTTGACATACATTTTAATTTCAGATCCTCTCATCTAATTTCTTGCACAAGGTCTGTTTACCTGGGCTTCCTATGCCAAGGGGTGAATCTCAAACATCTTTAAAAAAGGGCTAAGGGCAAGGAAAGGAGTCTGAGAAGTAGGAAATTAATCAAACATTCACGTATCTTTCCTTCTTCTTTTGTATGAAATGTGTCGTTTTTTTGAGCATGTGCTACTAAGCGCTCACATAAATGTTAAAGTGGGGCTGTAGCCTCCCTATGAATCGGGGGTGGGCACTCCACTGGGCCACTGTATTGGCTCCTGAGTTCATGGCCACATACTAGAAATCTATAGGAGCATATCATAACATTAGTACACTTTTGCATTGAAAAATCTCCTTAATAAATATTACCTATAAGGATTTAGAAATGTATTTTCTACTAAGACAGTGAATCAATCCCTCAAAAGGATTTCTTTTGAGATTCTGCAAAAGAAAAATGTTCTCTCTCAAGTATAAAAACTTTAAAAAACCCACAGTAACTAACAGAAGCCTCAGAAGCTTATAAGCTATAGAAACAACAAACATTACCTCACATGCTTCATCCTTCAATTAACTTGTGATTATCAATAGCAAAAATTAAGTCCTTTGATCTAAACAGCAGCTACAGAAAAACAGCTATTAAGTTTCTTCTTTCCAAAAAGCAATGATTAATAATTAATTGCCTATTTTCACTTTTCAAACCTGCTCCTTCATAATTAACACATACTCAGGTAGTTTAAGTTCTAGCCCACGACATTCTACTTCATTACAAAGCTTAGTGAAATATTGACAAGGAGCTTTGCTTTTGAAGTGTTCTGGCCCTGCGTTACTGCACGGATACGGGTGTTCTCGCAAGCGACGCTACGTAGGATAGCTGCAAAAAGTTTCTCTTTGGAAACCGCGTTACAAAGGCAGCACAGCTACAGGCTTGGGAAAGTCAACAGCCATGTAGCAAGAAGCGAGCTAACTGCGAGTGAACAACCTGCCTAAACATCTGCTAGCTTTATAAATAAACTTGCCTTTGTAAATGAGCCTTACCTGACACAGAGACTGTGTGTGACCTTACTCCTTGCTTCTCATTGTTGGCCAGCCTGTAAAACAGAGGTTGGAATCGCTGAATGCTGTACATCCTTCGGGGTCACATACACTGGGAGTTCGCCCTAACAGGGCACCCACTGTAATCAGCAGGGCCAGCCCATTCCCCACAGTGACAGATTTTGAGGGGGAGGAAAGTCAGAAAGGAATCTACCATTTCAAACCCATCCGGGGGGAGTAAGAGCAGAGAGAATGCGTTATCGTTTTAATTGGCATACTGATTCACGACAGAGCAAATTTAAAGGAAAGAAACAAACCCTACGTTTTACAAACTTTTAAGATCAATCTGTGCATGTCTAAACTTTGTTAATGTATGTAATTTTAAGGTGTTTCTATTTTCTATATTATTTACTGGAAATAAAGTATGAATTGAGTTTTTGTCTGTAAGACAACTTACCATGTGCAACAATTTTAAATTGCTTTACAAGTCAAGTAAATCAAGAAAACCAATTAAATTTAAATGTAGTTAGCTATAAATGTTCATTAGTAACAGGAACTCCAATAAATTCTTCTAAATTTTTTTCCATGTACATACAGAAACACAATTTTAATGGTAAGACAGAAAGAATACTGCACTTCACGCTTTCAGAAATCTGGAATTTCATCTGGCAAAAGCAAATACTTCTAGATGCAAGATGGTGTTGGCTAGTAGTTTTATATATTTGACAAACGTCCATTCCTCTGCCGCCAGCCTAAGAGCACATGTGGTGCCCTCATTTAAACAGACACATGCGTACAAATTCAGTTTTGGTAAACTGTCCCAAAAATGGGAAAAAGTTTCCCTTCAAACCTTATTTTATCCAAGAAATCCCTAACAAATAAAAAAAGGGTAAAATTAATGTCATTAGAACGTTATTTTGTGTTTTTCACTTGCTATCTATTTAAGTAAAAACAAATTTTCCTCCTCCATGTGAGTGTACACTAAGTTTACCAATTTTACTGCTTCCAGCCTTGATTTTTCCCTTCCTTTTTATCCCAGCATTTTAACTCTTCTCATTCTGTACCATGAGAAAGCTACCTGGCTAGCGAGGACTGCAGCAGGACCTGTGAAGGAACAGCAACCACTAGTAGCTAAGTGGCTGCTTTCTTCCACATTCAGGAACAAATTGTGTTCCATACACCACCCAATAGTTAATAAAGTAGTAATAGTAATTCTGGACTCCTTCCAGGAATTAAGGAAGAAATAGAATGAGGTGGTTGGGTCAAAGTAGGCACGGTCCCTCTGTCCCAAAGGAAAAAAAGAAGAGATAAAGCACTATTAAACTGCTAAATTTCATTTGGTCTTTCAACAGTTATACTGCCTGATAAGGTTCAAGGAGAACATGCTGATGATATGTGACTTCAAACAAGGCTGAATGTGGCTATTAAGAAAGCAGTCAAATCACAAACAAGCAAGCAAAAAAAAAAAGTGGCTTGGTTAAAGGACTGAAGTTTAGGAGGCCACAATAAGAAACTGCACGTGGAAAGGGGAGACAAACAGCACAACTTGCCAGGTAGGATGGAGACCTAGCCACTGACACCAGGAGCGTAGAGAATCATCAGGAATTAACAGGCTTGTCTACCGCTGCGTTATGGACTACTAACTCCAGCAACACAAGCTATTTTTAGTTCAAACAGATTTCATTAGAAATCTTTTCCTATTTACCATAAAGCTCGGGAAGGAGAAAAATGCAGAGAGATTAGCAGAGATTCTTAGCATACTTTATGTAAGAATTATTAGATGATTAGATGAAGATAGCGTATCTCAGCATACCTTAGATACAGTATCACCATAAAACTAGCCAGAGGAAAAAGCGCAACTCTATTTGCCTGACATAGATTAGCATTTCCTATAAATCCACAATTACTATTGGAGAATATTTTTTCTACATTATTATATTCAATAAAATAGATTTAAAAGTATTTTACAATGTAAATGTTAGTCTTTATTACATTGAATCTAGAGATCCCAACTCAGGCTAGCCCCATTACAGAAATTTTATTAACAAAAGGTGATATAACAGATTTATGACAGAAGAAAAAAAAAAAAATCTGTATTTCACATAAGCAGAAAAGGGGACAAACAGGAAAAAATAGAGCATAGGCTGACTCACAGATCAAAACCACAATTCAAAAACTGTTTAGCATCACCCCTATTATAAAATTTACTCATGGACTCAAAATGAACAGTCTGAATCCCACTCAAGTTTTTTCCAAAACATCCTCCTTTTGTTATTGTCAAATACGATCTATGCATTATGCACTGTTTTCCTGAGATTTTATTTGTTATCTTTATAGTTTAATTCTGCTGTCAGTCATTTATGCCCCGTGGTCCCAAATGACCACCTGCTATTTGTGCTAGGATCCAAAAGCCACAATAAAAATTAAGCATATATAAACAGTCCTAAAGCATCACTTAAGCAAAACTATTTTTCAAAATATTTTTTTTAATATATAAGAAAGCATATAACTTACTTTGGTATTGATGGTAAAGCTCTTTCACCTTCTGTGTAAACAAGAAGAAAACGGGATTAGAATTTTACTCAAGTTTCCAAATAACATATCTCAATGTGCAATATATACATGGTTGAAACAATAATGATTATCATCTCACACAGAAACTATGTGGATTCAAAAGACTGTTCTATACATATATTTAGAGCAGCATATCAACACAACTCCTTCTAACTCCTTCAACATAGACCTTTCAGGCAAACTCTTATCCGAGAGAACAACATATACAGAATATCCAAATTTTTTTATTCTTAACAAGTGCGATAAATCACCTGCAGAAGGTATGACAGTATTTGATCTCTCTAGTAAGAAATGCTTTTCTTTTATCTCCAAGATGTGCTAAGTGCTAATATATAAACAACTGAAGCCAACTTGAACTCCCAAGCAAGACAACTGAAATAAATCATTAAAGCATGTAAGATATCGTATTGATTTCACACTTGGTTGATATTATACAATAGTAATGCTTTGTAGCCAGAGATGAAGTTAGCTTTTTGTAAACTATTTTCAAATCCTTTCTCTGATAATGGTACTGCATAATAAAAACTTGGCTGTACATAATCAAGTTTTTTGCCTATTGGATTTGATGAGACACTTGGTATCCATGTGGGAAGGATGGGGAAGTTACTAAACCTTTAGTAAAACACCAATGATTTATACTAGATTAAAGTGTGAAGGGAAGGAGAGAAAGTGGGCAATTGAAATGGGTATCACTGTAGTACTGATAAAGTGACCTGAGAGAAAATGGAAAAGCCACACTTTCAGAAAACCGTAATACAGATTGATTACACAAAAATCATGTAAATTCTGGTTTGCTCTTATCCTGTGTTAAAATTCCTGAATTTTACAGACCTTATAAAAGAAAACTAGTCTTGTCTCTGTGTATTATGGAACTGAGTAAAGAAATGCTCAATACCTACACACCATGCTCAACATGGCAAACTACAATATTTTGTTACAATTTTTTTTTTCTATGTAAAGATAGAACAACATAGTTTGGCTCACCAACCTAGGCCTGTTTTTAAGTTTATCTGAAACAATGTTTAAATCATAAATGATGCTAACAGCATGGCCTGTTAAGTTCACAGGGATCCATTTTCCATTTCCTGCAACATTCCTGTACTTTCACCAACGGAAGCAATGGTCTATTGCTTCCATGCTAAATTTCTGCCACAGGCTAGCTGGATTTTAGGGGACTAACCTTTTAATGCTAAGGATTAAATATTTTAACATTAGGGATCACATATTTTAATGTTAAGAAAACCAAAAGAAACCGTTGGAAATCACCCAGGCCTCTACAGTTTCAAGCAGGGATGCACCATAATTTGCTATGAGATGGTGGTGTATCAGGATATTTCCTTTCACCATCTCAACGTAAGTCTGCTTAATTTTAGTCAAGCTATCAGTTTTTTGAGGGAAAAGAACAAACACTGCAGCGCAGGCATGCTCAGCAGAGCTCTTCCACAGCCCAAAGCTAAATTCCTCCTCAGCGAGGAGACTCCAGCACTGGACTTGGGCTGCACACGCTCCAAATCAAGCCCAGGGCTACAAAGTCCGATCTTTCCCAGTGGGTTTGGACACAGGAATAAAAAGAGACAGGCTCAATTGTGCTTAAAGGTACTGAAGAGCAAGCAGGTCCACGTAAGTGCAGAAAGGGTGAGCGCTGCACGTTAAGGTCTGATGGTGGCTGTTGAAAAGGAAGATGCAAGATAGAAGGGAAACAAGGAGCTGTGATTTGGAAGATGACCTAGAGCAGCTTGGCAAAGTGACTAGAGCAAGCACCTGAAACTGGAGGGTGGAGGAAGGACAGCAAGATTGTACAAGAAACATGAGGTGGGAGATAAAGGTATAGTGATTTTAGGGTAAATGATACCTTTTGGGAAAGGAAATGAAAGGCAAAGATCCTGAAAGGTAGTGTGAAGTGGCAAGTATGAGATCAGATGCTTGAAGATGACAGCCTGGCAATAAAAAGACCGGGGCAGGGGGGAGGCACCTGAGAAAGGGGCTGGCATGGGCACTAGAGCATTCACACTGGATGGATGGAACTGGGCAAAAGCCATCAAGCTTGGAGAAACAGGCAGAAGAGTCCTGCCCGCTACTGTGCAGGCCTCCCCAGGGTTCTGAAGAAGACTCAAGAACCTTAAATTCCACCTAGTATCTACACGATCTGTCATCATTAGCTGTGAAAGCACCTAATGTTCTAGTTTACATCAAGTTATGCTGCTACTGTTAGTTATTCCGACATCACTCCTACATTTGGCAATGTATTTAATGGCTGAGATGTTGCTGATGAATCATGTGTGCTAAAACATAGTATATTAAACACTAAACTTTGGAAATGATACAAATGCACAAACCTCTGTATTAAAAGAGCTTTATTACATTTCAAAGTTAATTTCATAATTTGGTATTTTTAAATTGAGATAACCGGTGCAAGATTAATGAGCAGCTACTTAAACATAATTTCTCCTGCTGTTTAATATGTAGCTCCATCGCATTTAACTGCACACTATTCAAACTGTACTCTAAATACAGAACTTTTAATTTCCTCTAAGTTTTTTTTTTTGTGTGGAGCACATCAGTATCATATTTGGGGACTTCAGAAACATCAGTGCCTGATTTCACAACACCTGCACGGCCACAATGCTTCAGATTTTCAAAGTACTGACCTCAGCTGCAGATCGGATTGTTTCTCCGTCCTGCAAATGTAGACCCCATCCTCTTAAAGAAACTGAGAAATACCACAGGTGGCAACTGCTACTGTATGCTGAAGTCAACTCTTATCAAAAAGGATGTAGGAGATAAAGATAGAATCTAATTTTCCAGTGCAGTATTAAATTTCCTTAACAATGAGAATCGTGTTCTGTTCCTGCAAGTCTTCACTTACTCAAAAGCTTCCTATCAGTGCAAAATATAAAGCACGGATCATAATGAAATATGTCTTTCACAATAAAATCCTGATTCCATCTTCAGAGTAAACCCATTCCAAACATTTTGTGAGATAAGGAAAAAGTTAACAGAAAGTGGTATTATGTAGTTAGTTGAGGAATAGTAGTATGTAGTTAGTGAGTAAAGTGTGACAAAAGTGAAAGGAATTACAGATGTCTGGGAAGTTGTGAGAGAAACACATATGGACACAGGAAACTGGAAAAGTAACCTTATGTTAAAAAAAAGGCAACCAGAAATAAAACCCCACTATTAAGTAGTATTAGAGACACCTGCCCTTTCACTGGACAAAATTCAAGAAAAATCCATCCGCATGGAACTACTGTTGAAATAGCATATCAAAGCTGATCTTATAGACGCCTCTGGATACAAACTGCTCACTTCAGGCACTGTTTCCCAAGTTGGTGATCATCCATTTACAGCTTATATCCCAAATAAAATACAAAACATTCATTAGTACCCTTGAAGGTCTGAAGTCAAAATTCATTACTAACAGCATCACAGTAAAACCATATGTTGTTTTTCACAAGTTGGAACCCACAACATTTTGTCCAATTCTATATTCAGTTAAAAAAAAA